AGCAACAACAACAACAAAAAGTCTACCTAAATTAAGTTAGAGAAAGATGCATTAAGTGCATCTGTAGCATAGAAGCCATCTAGGCCAAGCGTTGTGACTTTAATTGTAAATTACTCCCTATTGTTACCAGATCTCGGGGCTTCACCTGCCCTGGTGAGCCGCAAGCAAAGAACCTCCAGAAAGCCTCCAAAAGAGGGAGGCAGCTGCCCTCTTACTGCTCACTTCGTGGCGTATCTCCTGTTAGGAAAGCGAAGGAATCTGGCCATCTAAAGGCTGGTTTTCGCATTCCTGAATGCCCGAGAAAAGGTTTCTTTTGTACAAGTAATTTAAAGAGGCAAGATTAAACGGATTAACGCACTAGTGACAAGCTTTAATAAGAGCAGATAGGGCTAGCCATAGCCAGCTAGTTAATTCTACATCTGCAGTTAAGGCTGGCCTTTGTGGAACTCTGAAGTTGCTTTCACATCTGATTACTTTGCAATGAAAAAAAAATGCAACCGGTGATCAAAGCCAAGAGCCTTCTTTCTCTCGAATCAACGTTCTCTGAGCAATTAAAGTCAATCAAAATGTTAAAAAAAATTCTAACAGAGCAAAGCTGCCCTCCACCTAGTCTCCTCCAGAGGAATAAAAGGAAGAGCAGAGAGAGACCCCTTTCCTAAACTAGTCGCTTTACAAATGCCCCATTTAAGCAAAATTGCAATGCAGAAAACATTCACTTAAGCTCCATTATTAGGAGGATGGGCTATTTTGTAAGGACTTGATCCAGCCGAAAAGCAGCCTCCTCGGCAGCTGCTGGTCTGCACAGCTTTGCCATTGTGGAGGCTCATTAAGATTCTCCGGAGCAGCTCCCTTCTTCTCCTCTTTGGTGGCTCTGGAATGCCTCATTAGACATGCAGCGACTGGCCCCTTCTTTGGAGTCCCTGGGCCCGCCTGGGCCTGGCCAAACTTTATGGCCGATAAATCAGCCACTGATTGCAACAGGCCGCTGCTCTTTTCTGCCTGGCCATAAAGGCTCACCCAAACCTTCCCCTGCTATCCCAGTTTAACTTCTCCTTTAACAATCGCACTGGAGTGAATGCCCTTCCTCCCCTCTGACCTGTCCTTGTTATTAAACGATACCAAGGAGTCAGGAATCTATATAGTCACAATACAGATAAGCATGCTATAAAGGGATTTTTTTAGAAAATGATGTTGAGTACTATCAGTAGGTAGAGGGCAAAAACATGTCTGACCCCTCGCACAACTTCAGGACATTGCTCTAAGCACACTGGTCCAACACACAAGGCCAGAGTGAAAGATATCTTTTGTCAATCCAAATAGCACTGGCTCTGTTGCCAGTATTCCACAATAACCTGTAGTGACTAAACAGCTACTTAATTTGCAAAGTTCAATATATTCTGAGTGTCACTAATTAGTGGCATCCTAGCCAGCATCCCGAGGAAAGTACAGCAATTGCGGCCAACAAAGCACACCCTAAGTTAGCAAAACTTGTTTGTTCCTTTGAGAGACAGCCACACTCCAGGCTAATCGCTGCTGATGTGTTGGCCCGGACAGCTTTGATATGTTAATTGCAACATTGTCTGACACTAGTTATTTTGAAGGCCGTCTCTTTTGTATGTCCCCTTGGGGACTTGCAGAAGTCTCCCCCCTGTAATAAACAGCAATTTTAACTCTGTTTCTTATTTGTGTATCATGTTTTAAAACAGAAAATGTAAATTTACAAACCACAATTAAATTCATGGTGTGAACTACATGGATACACACCAGTAATTAAGTCACCAGAGATTTAAGGTACTTTATATCTGAAATTGTAACGGAAACTATGGGAAACTACTTTCTACCAAATCATCTAGTCTAATACGCGCTACTGTAACTGGCAGCAGCTCTCCCTGCTCACAGGCAGAGGTCTTGTGGAGCTTCTAGCAGCGATCCTTGAGCTGGAAATATCAAGAATTGAATCACAGAGCTTCTTTATGTACTCTACCTAGGGTTGCCAAGTCCATCTTCCACCCCCAGCGGGGGACTTTGGGGGCGTTCCTGGAAGGGGTGGGGCATCCCCAACGTGATGACGTCACGTTGGGGACGTCTGCCACCACCCCCCAACCCGGCCATGCGCCGGATCTCCAGAACAGCAGTTTCCTGCACTTAAAGTAGCCGGCAGCCGGCGTTTCCCCTTTAAGAGAAGCTGTGTTTCCCTTTTAAGAACGAAGCTGGCTTTTCCCTGCAAGCTTGCAGAGTTCGCGCTTGGGATGAAACACAGGTTGCACACCCTTAAAGGGAGAGAGATGGGTGGCTGTGGGTGTTGGAACCCCCCCAAAAAAACAGGGGACCCCTGGCAAACCGGGGGGTTTGGCAACCCTAACTCTACCACTCGACAATGTTCCCAATGTACAGCTTATGGGGAGAGAAGGGCATCGTAGACAGCTGCCCCGAACCAAAGCTAAAGTGTTACCCAAACTTTACATCGATTACTCGGATCACTTTCACTTACTGGTACATGAGAATGCCAGCAGGACCTTGGAGGCCCTGAGACAACATGTGTTTTTTTGTTTTATTTATTTGCTTTATTTTATATCCCACCTTCCTCCCCAGTGGGGACCCAAAGCGGCTTACATCATTCTCCTCTCCTCAGTTTTATCCCAACAACCCTGTAAACTAGGTTAGGCTGAGTGGGATTTTTAACATGGATTTCCCAGACCCCAGTCTGACACTTTTAACCACTGCACCACACTGGCTTACTTGTTCAACATATTGGTTTAAGATTATTGTCCCTTTAAATGGCACAGTGGTACTTACCAGGAAGGTCCATTCTCCTTGAAAGTGGCAAGGAGACCCAAATGAGTGGGGGACTCCCTTTCCTCCACTTCTGGTGGCAGGAAGTCCAGCTTTCTTGTTCTGGAGGGGAGGAGTTCCCCCATCTCCCCTTCAGTCCAGAACTTTCTGTAGGTCACATGGCCCACAAGATGATCCGAAAAACTTAGAAAGCACAGCAACACAGCACAACCCAGACTAACAAATGGGCTGATCACCCGATCAGGGAACTTCCCTCTCTTTCTACAACATCTCTATCCTTCTGCACCTCTATGTTTCATTTTCCCTGGGGGGGGTGTCTCCTTGTCACTTCCAAGGAAAATGGACTTTCATGGTAAGTATCAGTGTGCCATTCTTCCTTGAATGAGAAGACCTGGATAAGTGGGGATGTAACAAAGCATACTGTCCCCCAGGGGAGTAAAAAAAGCCTCAACACCCTTAAATCCTCTTGCACTATCTGCTGCAGGACTCAGTGGTCAAGGGCTGTATCTGAAGATGTTCCTTTGTCTACCTTGTAGTGGCGTATGAAGGTAGAAGTATTGGGTCAGGTAGATGCCCTATATATCTCCCCTATGGAAGTTCTGGCTTCCAGGGCTGTGGATATAGCTGCCCTCCTAACAGAGTGGGCTGTAATACTTTTGGAGAGGAGGGATTTTGGCTGCTCGTGACCCTCCACATGATTTTGGAGGTTTGCGGTGGGAACGGGGGGGGGGGGGGATTGAGAAGGATTGCTGAAATGGCTTGCATCCATTTCAGCCTGTTAGGCTGAAATAAATGCCAGCCATTTCAGTGACGCTTTTCATTCCCCCCTGCTTGGACGTATGGGGGAGCAAAAAGGATCACTGAAATGGCTTGCAAAGGGGAGTATTCTCATTAAATGGCTTTTGCAAGATCATCCCCCCCCCCTTCCATTCTGCTAGGCTCAGGGAGCCACCCCCAGCAGAAAGGAGGGAGGTTCCTCACAAACCGAACCAGTTCATTAAACAGGCAGGTTTGTGGTTTATGTGATCTCACAAACTGGGATGAACCTCCATTTTCGCGGTTTGTGCCCATCCTTACTCATGGGCACTCAAAGAAATTGATGTGCAGTAGGTTTAGAACAGATAAAAGGAAGTACTGCTTCATCCAAAGAGTAATTAACATGTGGAATTCACTGCCACAGGAAGTGGTGGCAGCTACAAGCCTAGACACCTTCAAGAGGGGATTGTATACAGCAGAGGTCCATCAGTGGCTATTAGCCACAAGGTAGAAATGGAACACTATGACTGGGACAGTGATGCTCTGTATTCTTGGTGCTTGGGGGGGGCATAGTGAGAGGGCTTCTGGAGTTCTAGCCCCACTGGTGGACCTCCTGATGACACCAAACTATAGAGATTAGTCCCCATTGAGAAAATGGTTGCTTTGGAGGGTGAGCTCTATGGCATTATATCTCACTGAAGTCCTTCAACAAACCTGGAACTCCCCTTAGTGTTGCCAACCTCCAGGCAGCACCTGGAGATCTCCAAGATCAGTTCTCCTGGAGAAAATGGCTACTTTGGGCAGTGGATTTTATGGCATTATACCCTGCTGAAGTCCCTCCCCACCCCAAACCCTGCCCTCCCCAGGCTCTACCCTTCAAATCTATAGGTATTTCCCAACCTAGAGTTGGCAACCCTGTAACTGGCTACGGAACTGCTTTCCAGACCCTTGAAACCCAGAGAACATGGCATAGGAGAAGGTGCTTTTCTACCTTAGCTGCTACTGCATAGCCCCAAATCAACCTAAGTCATGGGGGAAGGAACCATACCTGTTACCATGTGGCTCTCCTCCCATATTATCCACTTGGGGCAGCAAAATGACTTGAGACAGCCCTGTCTTATAGCTAAGCAGAAGGAAATAGGCTAGCCTCCCTCTAATTTTCCCCTTCCCTCCGTCGCCCCACCAGCCATAGCTGGAGTCTCTTTCTAGAGCTCGTTGTATTTCTTCTCACAACGGGCCTTATTCCTAGTGGTCATATAAGCATCTTAATTACAACTATTCCTAAACAGGTTTTCTAAGTTGACCAGGACAATGTTTCTGCTACTTCTTCAAAACAAATACTGAAAAGTAACACAGACACTACCAATTAGTTTGTTCCCCAGTTTCAACAAGGCACAATATCACTCAAACCTCAAGCAGCGAATTCCAAAACAGCTAACAGGTCTCTTTATTTAGATTCAACATAGCAAATGTCAGGTACAGCAGTTAGTCTAGAAAAATACATTAAAAAAAAAAATCTTCTGCAGACCACAGCTCCTGTAACAAAATCTTCTGCAACCTATTTTACAAATCAATCTACATTATTTATGTAAAAAGGAATCCTGAAATTTAGCATTTTCATTATTTCCCAGACATCCATCTATTCAAACATAGGCTTCTGCTATTTATAGATGTTAGAATTTGTAATACATTTTTCTAATGTATCTCCTGTACATATTAAATATCAGTGGCTCTTGCTTGTAGTGCATTAACCATTTAAGCAAGCACACTCAGTATTTCCCCAGTACCATTTGCATTACATTTATTTGCATGCAGATGTAATTAGCATCTAAAAGTGCACAGCGTTTTAGCCCGTTTCTCTGTGAAATCCCAGACATCCATTGGGAGATATTATAATAACTGTTACACATCCACCCATGATTAGAAATGTGTGACTAGATGGTACTCCGAGACTATACAACAATGCATAAGTATAAAAACCAAAAGCTGTTAGGGCTTCAGACTGTATTTACATCTAGTTTTACTACCACAGGTTCAGACCAAGAATTCAGTACAGCATTAAAACCAATCTTTCATTAAGGACTGTTAGATGTAATTTAGTTTTCCAAGTGTAGCCCAAGCAATACCCTGAAAAAAATGAACTCTATTAACCAAAAGCTCTAGTTCGTTTCAGACCATGGTATATCCTCTGTTGGATATGAGTACCAGTTCAGAGTTTTAAATAATACTAGTGAGGCATCCAAGTGAACCAGTTAAGGAATCTGCACAACAAAGTTAAACGGTACAAAAAAAAACCCCCATACCTCAAGCGAGGAATTACACTGGCCACCAATAGCATTTGTTTGTTAAAGCCTGTCAATGAATGCAGAAACTCTGTAGACAGCATCAGGAATGATCTTAAAAGATTCACATGTAAGCACATAATGCAATTATTCACTTAAAATGCCCATGGAGGTTTTTCAAAGTCAGTTGATGGGGTTTATCTTCCCCACGCCGTGGTGAACTGAACAGTAAAAAGCAACGTTAAAAAGCAATTCCAGATTATCCAGACCAAGTTTTGGGTTTAGCTTCCCTTACCATGGAATCCAGTGTGTACATACATACTCGGTCTGCAATTGCAAGTGTACAAACCTTGAAATTTTCACAACATTGAGTGGTAAAGAACTCTTAACAGCGTCCACAAAAAACCCCCAGCTAAAACAAGTCTCACACACACTTCCCTCTCCCACAAAAGTGCAAAGACGTCGAGTCGCTGCTTGGTCTGCAAACACAACACACCGTGTACAAGAGAGATGCAGCTTCTGCCGGAGCCCAGGTGGCCTCCCATTAAAGCCAGTTGCATTCGGAGAAATTCAGCGTCCAAAGACTGAGTTCAGTTCCAGGAGGATCAACTCCACAATCTGATTCTGATACACCGTGTGAACTGCTATGTTACAAGTCTCTTTTTCTGGCTTTAACAGAGTCGGACCAAAGACTATGGCTACGCTTTGATAGGTCATTCGGTTCTTCTCTCCGTTTTCCACAATTCTGAGGACAAAACAAGACAAAAATTGAAGTTTACAACACAAACAATTACCCTCCTTTAGCAGAGGCTCTCTTTACTGGACATATTCACCCCTGACCATACAGTGAATGAAGCATCCCATGTTTACACAGAGCTCCCTGCTTACACTGTAACCTTACAGAGTCACAGTCGCTCATTCCTGAGCCATGTGGCCAAACACACCATCATTCTTCAACACACGTCAAAATCTTCCTCCAACAGTAAACCTTGTAACACCGGCTTTTCCCTGTCAAATTTATACTAAGTAAGAGATGTATAAAATCTAATCTTGTGTTGAGGACTAGGATTGGCTAAACTGTGACAGGATGGCCAAGGTGACCTCCATGGGAAAGCACAATTTTGCCCCGTTTCCTTATTTATTTGTACAAATTACAGAATGAGTCACGTTATGCTTTCATGCACTGCTTACCTTTTGAGGTGTCTGAAGAGCACCTGCATGGTATCTTGGTTTGGCTTTGGCAACTGTTTAATCAGCTCTCGTACAGCAGGAACACGCTGCCTGGGCTCTTGTTCTGGGAAAGGAAGGAAAAGGTAAAACTTCCGCAAACAGTGGAAAACATTATTCTGAAGACATTAGCTAATACATACTACCACCTAGTGGCCAACATTAAGAACATAAGAGACGCCAATGTTGGATCAGGCCAAAGGCCCATCCCGTCCAACACTCTGTGTCACACAGTGGCCAGAAATACCAGGTGCCATCAGGAGGTCCACAAGTGGGGCCAGGACATTAGAAGCTCTCCCACTGTTGACCCCCCCCCCCAGCACCAAGAAGACAGAGCATCACTTGCCCCAGAGCCCCTATCTATACCATGTGGCTAATAGCCACTGACGGACCTCTGCTCCATATGCTTATCTAATTCCCTTTTGAAGCCATCCATGCTTGTAGCCGCCACCACTTCCTGTGGCAGTGAATTCCAAGTGTTAAGCACTCTTTGGGTGGAGAAGTACTTCCTTTTATCCGTTCTAACCCGACCGCTCAGCAATTTCATTGAGTGCCCACGAGTTCTTATATTATGAGAAAGGGAGAAAAGTACCTCTTTCCCATGCATAATCTTATAAACCTTGATCATGTCACCCCTCAGTCATTGTTTCTCCAAGCTAAAGAGCCCTAAGCGCTTTAACCTTTCCTCACAGGGAAAGTGTTCCAACCCTTTTATCATTCGAGTTGCCCTTTTCTGCACTTTTTCAAAACATATAATATCCTTTTTAAGGTGTGGTGACCAGAACTGCATACAGTATTCCAAATGAGGTTGCACCATTGATTTATATAGGGGCATTATGATATTGTCTGATCTGTTTTCAATACCCTTCCTAATAATCCCCAGCATAGCATTGGCCTTTTTTATTGCAGTCACACACTGTCTCGACATTTTCAGTGAGTTATCTACTACAACTCCAAGATCTCTCTCTTGATCAGTCTCTGCCAGTTCATATTGCTATACAACAATGTATTATACCCATAGGGATTGTGGTGTTAAAGTCAACTGTGACAAAAGAATATAATGGCACCATTACCTTGATCACTTCAGAAACTGACTTCCACAGCTTCTGAGCATCCCCAAAGCACTTGAAAACAGAGATATAGCTCCTGAAGTGCTGACAGCAGAGTCAGAGATGTCACGGGCCTTACAAACGGCAAATTCCCTTTTCCTGTCAACAGTGTCTGTGTGGAAACCTTCCTTATCCTTAGGTATAACATGCCCCCATGCTAAGGAAGTTATCAGTGCACCCACAACTGGTGACTGGGTGATGCCTAGAGAATCTTTCCTGAGTGATTTATTTATTCCTGAACAAGATTTATTTAGCTAGGAGCTGATCCCATGTCTCCTCAAAGAACTGAGGGAACAGAAAGGTTATCTCTGAGGAGGGGTGAGTGGAGACGCGTCTTTCTGCACTTTTGGCTCTGAAGATTTGTTTTCGGGCTCTACACAGTATATCTGAAAGAAACAGCCGAGAAGATGACTGATCTTGTCCAATTATTCCTACATGGAAGAACTCTCCTCCTTCCACATCATCTCTGAAATTTCAGGCTTCAGGCTATGAAAATAACCTCCCTCCTTCCCAAAACATGGGCAGCCTTTTGGAGGAGTGCTGTTTCTGGGTAGCTTTAGTGGGCTGAGGAGCTTGGAAGAAAGTATTGCTCCTAATGGCTGAGCACCAGACTGGGAGGCCCAGGAGAAGAGGGCTGCCCAAGAAGATGGGGATGATGAAGAACCACCTCATCATCTCTTTCTCCTCTTGACTGGTTAATGAGGCCCAGAGAGTCACTTGCATTATCTTGTAATCCTAACAATGCTCTTGTAACTTTAATTGTTGTAGATTTTCTGGGCTGTATGGCCGTGGTCTTGGCATTGTAGGACATGAAGTTTCACCAGCAGCTGTGACTGGCATCCTCAGAGGTATAACACAGAAAGATAGAGTACTCTCTGTGTCAATGTGAGAAGAAAAATGGTAGACAGGTAATTTATATCTACTCAGGAAGGTGGGGTAGGGAGAGTTCCCCAGGCTGTAGGAGTTCCCCAGGCTGTGACATGCTAATGGAGGAGCTTTCCTGAGGAGGTTTTTTTGCATATGGATTGGCTGTTGAAATTCTAATCTTATCTGTAGTGCTGTTGTAAGATGTAGAGCATTTTGTGTTTTTCAGGACAGGAAACCATGCCCTATTTATTTTTAAACTCTCTTATTTCCTGTTGAAATTGTGTTTATGTTTATGAATTTCAATGGCTTCCCAGCATCAGTGTCTTGGAATAAGATACTGTGTCCTGTTTGAGTAAGGCTATGTTCAGCCACTGCTGATCTTTCAGGTTGGCCCAGTCTGCGGTGTCTTTCATGTTCTTTTATTCTTGTCTGGATGCTATGCTGTATGGTTTTGATGTAAACCTGTTCACAACTGCAGGGTATGCGGTATACTCCTGCAGAGTATTACCTCCAGAGTATAGACTGGGGGGAGACGCAGAGGCTTGCTTATGGCCATCTGGGAAGTTCATGACAGAGTGATAGGTGAACCAGGGACTTCTCTATCCAAACCCTGGACTATGTTTAGTAAATTGAGACTTAATATCAGATCACTTTTGTTTTGCCTGTCACAAAAACCAATTGTGCCTCTTTAGGTTTTCAGCTAGCACAGCAAAGCAGAATTCACCATTGTATTCTGTTGTAAACGGGCCACTGTTTTGGCCTTGAGTCTATTTGGGTTCTGCCCATAAAACCGACACACTAACTGCTACTTAATACATTTCAGGGCTTTTGACCCCATTGTTTGCAATTTCTCTTTCTTTGGACAGAAGTGTATGCACATGTGTGTATAACATACAACATGCCATCAAAAGCTTACACAATAATAAATTTTCTAGTCTTTAAGGTGTCACAAAACTTGGCTGTTAGTTGCAGAACAGGCTAACATGGCTACCATGCTGGAAATGCTATGCAAGTCATCACCCAAAGGTAAAAAACTTGTGTGGCACAGACTTACTGATTGCATTGACAAAATCATTGAAATGATTGTAAGTGAATAGTGGTTCTGGCAATTCTCTAAAAAACATCTTTAGAGCTCCTGTGATGACATGGATATCTTCCCATTTACTATCATTCAAGTCCAGTTTTTCATCTGAAAGAGAAAGCATGTGATAAAGACAGAAGTCTTAGAGGTCTCAGCTAGATTGTTGAGCTTATTACCATAATTTACTCACAAATGCAACATTCACATAAGGAAGGAGAGAAGGCTATTCTGACAAAATATTAAAATCAATATTAAAAACTTTATCAGATGTGATCCAGTTTCCCCTTAGACCATTCGTAAATGCAGCATCCCTAATTCATCATTCTATGAAGACTTAATGAAATTAGCAGTCAGTGTAGCTCTACTACAAGTACTGTCACTACAACTATTAATTGCTACTGTATGGGAACTTACCATGATTAACTGCAAATCTCAGCTTCTGTATTACTGCAAGATTGCCACTAACTCTGTACAAGCCATCGACATCCAGTCCTAAAACACAGTTCAAATTTGTTCAGTAAGTGGTTTCCTAAAGTTTATTAGGTCTGGCTGTATACATGAGAGGCTGTAATATTTAGAAGGGAAGTCACCACTGAAGTTTCAGCAAAGCAAAAATTATGATGCAATAAAAGCCAAGTGTGAACACCGTGTTACCTTTTTAGCATCTACAGTATGATGATCTATGAGCTCTACCATCTCTTCCTCATTCTTTACCCCCTTGTTACCTTAGACAATGACAATATACACTTAAAGGATATGGTGCTGTTATGCCTGTGATACCTTGCTGTGTTTATAAGTGGGACTACATCAGCAGTACTCACGTCAGTCTGGAACTTATGATTGTGAGTAGAATGCTGCAGCTTTCATTGTTTCCTTTCAAAAGACATCTGACACCCCATACTACACTGAATAAGTGTAAGCTATTCAAATCAGGACAACAGCAAAAGTATTTGGTCAACTAAAAGGAAGGGTTCCTAAGAAGATCAGGGTGCCAAAATGCAACCTTGACTTCAAGCAAGTAGTTCTTTCAAGCAAGCTTTCTTTGTCAGTTTACCTTTCACTGTATTCACATTCAGTCACATTCAATGCATGAGCTATTACAAACAAATAAAAATTATGGCCATAGTGATCCCTGCTCTGATTTTATCCATGTTAGATTACTGTCTTGCATTTATGAGAGGCTGCCTTTGAAAATGGTCCAGAAACTCAGGTGGTCCAAAATGCAGCAGCCAAACTATTGCCAGGGAAAGGATACAGGGATTGTTATCACCCCAGTGCTGAAAAATCTGTAAAGTCTGCCCATTTATTTTCGAGTCTGAGAAGCTGGTTTTGGGAGGCGTTTTTCTTGAGCTCTGCCCTGCAGGGTGGCCACCAGGTTCTGTTTAAAGCCCTTTGGGGGAAAGCTACCTGGAGATTTGGACAGCAGTGTCACCAGCATACCGACGCTCAGCTCTGTTTAAAACTTTCCATCCAGTAGCAGTGATGGTGTACATGTGCTAAACTGAATCAATAATGGGCTGGAGGAGAGTGAACTTTAATCCAGACGTGCTGTGGACTGATGATAAAGCTGATCCTGGTGCTGACGCAGAGATGTTTTAAGATGGGGTTCCACTCTCTCTTAAGACTCAGAATCTCAGTCTGGATGCGCTCCTTTAGGGTCAGGTGTAGTCTGTTGTCAGGAATGCTTTTTTATCAGTGGAGGCTGATATACCTTTCCACAGTGGGATACACTTTAGTGACTGTTACCCACTCTATGCAAGGCTGCCTTAGAAAGTGCTCAAAAAGGAGAGATTCCCCCCCCTCCCCCAAAAAAACACAACTACAAGATTAACAGGGACAGACCAATGCAATCACATTACACTGGTTAAGCATTGGTCTCCAGGGCCAATGACCTTTAAAGCCCTGAACTGTCTGGGACAAGGGTTTCCTTAAGGCTTGCCTTTGCCATTACCAACACAGAAATCACCTGCACATGCTGACCTCCATGTTCTCTTGTCAACAGTGTTGCAGTGGGTGATTATACACACAACAGTGCATTCTCACTGGGGGCACTGAAACCAAGGAACTTCCTGTCCCCTCTTCGCTTTCAGGCCAGTATTGTTTAGAAAGAATTTTCATTGAGGGAAGGGGAGGAATGAATGCAAAAGGGCACTTTTGAACCATCAGGGAGAGAGAGAGTTTAAAAAATATTTTGCTTCAGTTGCCTGGTTAAGACAATGTTTTCCCATCAGTTAACTGGCTGTAAGGAATTCTAGCAGGTTGTTTTACTGGAGGCAGTTTTTTCCTCTTCTGCTGAACCTTGAGATTTGCTTTATTTGCTGGCTGCATTTTATTACTTCATTTTAAACTACTGGTTTCAAATTGTTTATGTCTTACTATTATCTGCTGGTAGGGCAGAAGCAGGGGTATAATTTTAAAAAAATATTATAAAAACAGAGTTATTAGGTGCGGTTGAATTGACTGAAATAAATGGGCTTCAACATGCCCAAGTACATGTCAGATTGTAGCTTAAGGTTGAAACTTCTGAGTAAACTTGCTTAGGATGGTGCTGCAAGGCTTTTTGGCGTTTTTAAGGATTTTCCCCCCTCAGGAATTTAAGCCAGTGTACACAGGCAAAAAACCCACTGCATTTCATGTGCAACCATGAGTGTCTCTCTCATTCAGGGATTCTTTTACTGCACAGTCATAGGGGTGAAACCTGGTACATCCACAGTACTCTAGTTTATGACTGTGCAACGGTCATAAAAATAGGGAATAATTCTATTCTAAGCAATCTAGACAACAGGTTTCCAGCAGTGAGGGTAGGAAATTTGGGTTGAGTCAAAATATTGTTAGGGATTTCATTTCATATAGAACTCATGTTACTTCTGTTGTTTCAGGGGACATTCCTTGAAAGCTTCCATCCATATTTGGAGGATTATGTAGTATCACAGCAAGCTCTAAAACTACCTGAGGAGAAGCTCTGTGGCTTCAAAATGAGCCCAAACGGGACAAAATGGAGGTGTTTTTAGAGTCCCAATACTGATCTAATGGCTAATCCAAAATGGTCCAACTTGGGGAAGCTGAATCTATTTCTCCAACTAACTTCCAAATGATGATTTGGGGAAAAAATTGAGAACTATACCCTTATGCAGGGACTATATAAAATCTGCTTATATTAACATGCTCTATCACTTGAAACAACAAAATTCTAGCAATGTACTTTTAAATAACATTGTCTATCAACAACAAAGACATTATCTTCTACTCACCATGTTCTTCAACATGCTCAATACACAACTTCACAAATTTTGGCACAGTACTATTTTCTCTTTGACACAAGCTGGATAAATTGCAACCAAACACTTGATCTGAAAGGAGAGAAGGGAAAACGGTCACAAAGGAGGGGATAAGTGCCTCAGAACGACACAGAACACATTCAAATTATCCCCAAAGTACTGAACATGGCTGCATTGTGCCTTTATTGAATTCTTCACTTTCTAGCATTATACAGCATCCAATCAGAGCCAAGAGACTAAAAAATACCTAATATTGCCTTACAGCCATGATCAATTCAATAACCTTTCCACTGACGTTTTAGCTCCAAATAATTAGTTACAATAAAGAAGCTAGTGTGAACTACGTACCAGCTGATGGAAAAGACTACCTAATGTAAATAATTTCGAATGCACAGAAATCTAGTTAATAGAAGGGACTTTAAACTGCAGAAAACAAGGAAGGAGAAATTAGCCTGCTCCAGCCCTGGATGGTTTACAGACAGCCGGGGGGGAGGGGGGGCAATTTTTGGAGAGGTAGGATTTCCTAGCTTTTCTCCCTTCATGTGATTCCTTGCAGGCTCTCGGTATATAATTTATTATTAAGCCAAAGTACTGAGACTCCAAATTGCTGTCTCTGGTCAAGTTTCATGTCAGGATGAAAGAAGGAGTGATTACATTGCAACATCCTTTGCACTATCAGCAACAACATTCGCTTCCTATCAAGTTCCCCTCCACTATATCAGGCACATAAATAATCACAAACTAAATGTGATTATGTACCTTCACAACCTAACTGGTTTAAAATGCCACACAGTTTAATACCTTAATTTTTTAAAAAGCTCAAATTATTTTTGGTAACTGTATGAATACATGTTGAAGAGATTCAACATAAATAGACACAAACACTTCAGAAGAAAGACTTTAAAGAATCACTATTTTTATTCATCTACTCTGGAGTAGAAACTACACACTGTGTGACATCATGCAGGACTGTCCCGCTTTCATGCTTGCAAATGTTCATATGTGGCTATAATACTTCCCCAGGTGCTACGCCTGTGGACCCAAGCTTCATGAACAATACCCCACGTTTAACCTTGGAATTAACATCAGCATTTGAGTCACTGCCTGTTGAGATTTATATGCAAAGGACTTATTTACATTTTATACCCATCCAGTAGATCCACACAGGACAGGCCTGACCAGAGAAAAACAGAAGAGGAGGAAGGTGAAATCAGCCCCTGAACTGTATGTAGCTCCTAGTCAGAAAGAAGACTGTTTAGACAGTCTATTGTGGAAGCATAAACAAGAATCATTTAACTCAGAGGTATCGAACTCATTTATTACGAGGGCCAGATCTGACCCACCACATCCTTGCCATTTCCTGAGCAAACATCTGTCTTCTTATGTAATCAGCTTTACTATTTGCAGGAGAGTTATCACAAAATCAAAAGTGCAGTTACCTTTGATGTAACCTTTCTCACGGACAGCTTGTAACGTGGGTCTGCGGGTCAAAAACTTCTTCAGTTTCGTTTTAGTTTTCTTTTGTTCTGAAGAATCAATGCTGCCGGATAATTTTATTGCTGAAAGAAAAAAACAAACTTTAAGCTGACTCTTTTCTCCTGATGTCAACTTGTAGAAGATAGTTTGCTAAATCAGAAGAAGAGATTGGATTTATACCCCGCCCTTCGCTACCCGAAGGAGTCTCAGAGTGTCTTACAATCCCTTTCCCTTGCCCTCCCCACAGCAGACACCCTGTGAGGTAGGTGGGGCTGAGAGAGCTCTGAGAGAACGGCCATTGCGAGAAAAGGTCTGAAAGAACTTATGATTGACCCAAGGTCACACCAGCAGCTGAATGTGGAGGAGTGGGGAATCAAAACCGGTTCTTCCAGATTAGAGTGTGCGCTCCTAACCACTCCACCAAACTGGCTCTCAACCCTTTGAAAGAAAGTTGGTATAGATTGATTATGGCTCTCAACACCAAACTGGCTCTGTACCACAGATCAAATTTGATTTTACGATGTTTCATGCAACTGCCCACTAGCACATTCCCTAGTATTTATGGAAAGATGGAGAAATCTTCAAGAAAGGCTGAATTCAGAACAGCTGCAATGCTAACCTTGACCAAATACACATTTACGAGCTTTACATAAGGCTGTTTACCTTAACATTTATTCTCTTTACATAACTTGATGGCTTTTAAACCACACAGAACTACTTGCTTACGAAGAGTTCTTTGTTCACAAGTGGAATGCAGATGGTTTAGAAAGATACAGCTGCAGTCTTAATCATCTAGGAGGAGACCTGGAAGAAACTGATTCAGTTCCATCTTGCCACTTGCTGAACTAGAAAATATTTTGTCACTATGCTGACTCACCCACACTGGAATGTGGATAAATCTCTAAACACTAAGGAAAAAGGTAAACAGCAGCTTCTAAAGCTCTCTGCCTTCACATATACTTATTTTATGCCAATACAGAAGATACATACGAGTACAAGGTACATCAGACCTTGATGTGAAGACAGGGTTTAAGCTCAAATATCTGAGATATTGAAACAAAACATTTTGATCTTAACATCTAGTTGGCCATGGAGCTTCATATTTGCCATGCATAAGTCTGTGAGCTCAGACTCAGACCTTGCCCTTCGCCTGCAGAGTAAGCAGAGCTCCTGTAAAACCTCTGCAACTACTTCCCTCTGATCACTAGTGCCATCAAGTCACAGCTGACTTGCGGTGACCCCATAGAGTTTTCAAGGCAAGAGAGAAACAGAGGTGGTTTGCCCCTGCCTGCCTCTGCGTAGTGACCCTGGACTTCCATCTAAATACTAACCAGCTTCCAAGATCTGATGCGATTGGGCTAGCTTGGACCATCCAGGTCCCTCTAGCCACCACGGAACTGGAACTCTGCATTTGCCAGGCTTCTCCCAAGTCTCTCTGTTTACAATAGATCCAGTTTAGTGTAGTGGTTAAGTGCGCAGACTCTAATCTGGGAGAACCAGGTTTGATACTTCTTCACCCAAAGAGTGATTAACACTTGGAATTCACTGCCACAGGAAGTGGTGGCGGCTACAAGCATGGACGGCTTCAAAAGGGAATTAGATAAGCATATGGAGCAGAGGTCCATCAGTGGCTATTAGCCACAAGGTATAGATAGGGGCTCTGGGGCAAGTGATGCTCTGTCTTCTTGGTGCTTGGGGGGAGGGGTAAACAGTGGGAGGGCTTCTAGTGTCCTGGCCCCACTGGTGGACCTCCTGATGGCGCCTGGTATTTCTAGCCACTGTGTGATACAGAGTGTTGGACTGGATGGGCCTTTGGCCTGATCCAACATTGGCATCTCTTATGTTCTTATGATTTCCCATTCCCATAAATAAATAAATAAATTCCTCCACTTGCAGCTGCTGGATGACCTTGGGGAAGCCATAGTTCTGTCAGAGTTGTTATCTCAAGGGCAGTTCTCTCTGAGCTCTCTCAGCCCCATCTACATCACAGGGTGTCTCCCATAGGGAGGGGAAGGGAAAGCCACTCTGAGACTCCGAGTGAAGAGCGGGGTATAAATCCAATCTCCTCCTCTAATGCCACTACCACCACCGCTCCATCATAGAGCGATACCGCTGGAGGACTGTGCAACATCTAATTACGGCCCTACCCCTCCCCTTCTGCTATGCAAAGTGTTGGGAGTTTTTTATCCTTGCATCCTGATGGTATTGATTTTAACTGTTTTTATTTATATATATATTATATGCACTCTGTGCCTGTGTAAGCCGCCCTGAGCCCGCTCGCGGGGAGGGCGGGGTATAAATACAATGAAATAAATAAATAAATACATAAATAATGTACCATTTAAAATGTAAGGAGGAAATCTGTTCATTCAATTTTAGCTACTTTTCAATTTTATACTCTTTAAGAGTTATTAGCAAAGCAGACCACTCAATGCTTACCGTGAAGGGTCCTTCTCCTCTGAGGAAAGGAGGACATCTTGGTGGGTGGTTCACACCATCCACTCAGGGAGGCAGCAACAACTTTTCCCCCTCCTTCCTGTCTCTGCTGTGGGAGTCACCTGCCCTTCAGTTTTGGCAACTCCGAAAGCAGTTAAGCTACTCTACATACAACTGCATAGAACAGGTAACATATAACATTAATGAATGACAATTAAGATTAGTTAAGTGTAGAACAGTTAAGACAGGAAGGAATCCTGCAGCTGATTGGTTGACTGACTGACGATGACTTGGGAGGGACAAGCTTTTTCATGCGCTTTTTGGCTCCTGGTCAAGGGTCCGATCTATCGTGGCCACGGCAGCCCTATTAGGGTCATTGCCTGTCCGATCTGAGGATTCTCCTGCTCCTGCCATGAGTGGAGCCTCCAACTCTGCTTCAGAGAGGAAGCCGCCACTGTCCTCCCATTGAATCATGGCTTGAGCAGCCGATGGACGTGTTATGCAAGCCAACAATCTGAATTGGTCGCTGCTCCTTTAAGGAGCTCTGTCTTCACTCTCTTCTTTGCCTGAGCCAGGGAGCCGAGAAAGGAAAGGAGAGGCTGTAGGAAAAAAGATCCAGTAAAGTCAAGGAAAAAGTTAAGAGTTAAGAGTTGATGAAGTAAGTGAAATAAGAAGGAAAACAGAAAACAGAAGTAGGACAGCCTGCTCTCTAACCACTCTCCCTGATGAGGCAGGAAAAGAACTGACTTCCACAGCAAAAACAGGAACAAGGGGGAAAAGTTGTTCCTGCCTCCCTGAGTGGATGGTGGCAATCAACCGCCCAACACAACACAATAGATTAGTCTGCGTGCAATTCTTCTTCATTGTGCAGGGAATACTGAGATCATCACAGTGGTGAGAATTAGCCTCAAGTACAGATGTTTAACTTGGAATTTCAACTTACAGCGAAGCTTTTTGGAGTCTTTATGGTCCTTTTCTTTGTCTTGTTTTTCCACCCCAGGAGAATCTGGCACTTCATCGTCCAACGCTTCATCAGACTCCACTGTCTATTGAAATTGGTTTAAAAGAAAGTTTCATGAGTTCCGCTCATATAAAGTTTTGAAAGCTCCTTTAATTAAGGAAACTCTTGATTTTTAAACAGTAACATTCTTCTGAAATCACTAGAAAGAGGATTTATCACAGCCCTTCCACAGCTCTCTGAAGGTGAGATATCATCATCTTGTAACTGTTTCGGCTTTCTTGGCAATGAAACTATGTCTGTTCTCCTGATCTGATAGTGCACATGAACAGCTTCTGTAAGAAATACGTGTGCTGGAGCCAGATAGCCGACCTCTTCAAGCTCCAGACCAGAGCTTCTCCATTTCTATGACAGCCCTTCAGCTTCTGTTGCTCCCTCCCCTCCCCTTTATGGTCCACCGCCTCAGGGGGTTTACTAAGGGTCTGTGATTGTGCCTGGTCAGGTAATTATGACACTGGGCAGAACTGTCATAGTTACTATTATTAGTGGAAACTTTTATTTAGCACTAAGCGCTCAAAGCATTTCACATACAAAACTTGCAGTGATCTTTACAACCTACCAGCATCATTTAGTAAGATAAATCAGAAATATTTATGATGCAGAAAGGAGGGCTAACTTTTCCCCACCATGCCATTTTCTCAGGGCAATTCCCCACGTTACAGCTGCTATTTATAGAGATACCCTACGGATACCCATATGTTTTCCCTGCAGAGCAAACTGCAACTCCAGGGTGTCAATCTGCATTGGGAAAATGGTGCAAGGGAGAATTAAATGCCCATCATGGAAGACTGCCATTTATCCTGCAATACCCTGATGCCATCCAATTCTCTGCCTGCATCTCATTCAGCATTTGTTACAGCTCTGTCCTACCCTTCCCTAAAGTAACACAGAGCAGAGTTTTAAGACCAGCACAAACCCTTGAGGGCAAGTCACTAGGTGCACCAGAGCAGTGTCCCAAATATTTTGCTGCAGGATACTGATGTTGCTTGCATCAGATCTTGCTGTTTCTTACTTGCAGAGGGGACCAATGAATCAGTCCATCAGAATATATGCAACATTTTCTCATGGGGATATAAACACTGGAAGTGTGGAGGGAAATAAGCATTAACAGGGCTAATTCCTTGACCCGCAGGTACACACTTTCCACAATCTTGGGATCACCAGCAAACCCAGAACTGCATGAAAGAAGCTTGTGATCAGTTGTTAATTGAAATGTGGCGTTCAGAAACCCTGAACAAACCACAGTTCAATCAGTGATGTAAATGTGGCCGAAGTTGTCAGGCTTGTATGCTCTCTCTTCTTCATGTTCATGAGGAGCCAAGACTGAAGACTTCTTAATTTAGTTTTCCCTAGTTTAGCAAGTCTGCGATCTGATCACACTTGTGATATCCAAATTCAGGCATTTAAGCGCCAATCCTGTTAGCTTCTCAAACTGAAGTTATGAATCCCAGTTTACAGGCAAGAAAAAAAACAACACCCAGTTTCTTGAAGTGCCTGAATTCAGACATCCCACAACAAACTGTGATAAGTTCAAGGGCTTCCTAAAGCAGGAAGTCTTCAAACCCCCGACAGAGTGCCAGGGGAGAAAGAAGGGAGAGATGGAGGATGCAAGCCCAAGGACATCACCAATTGTTCTTTATTCGTGTCAGAATATACTAGAAGTCTCCAATCTCTGTGAAGACTGAAAGTGGCAAATTTAAAATTATTATTTATTTTAAAACATTTTTCCTGCCTTTCTACCCAATTAGAGCCCTAAAGGCCCTAAAGGCAGCAAACAGTTCAAAAGGTATTAAAATCAACTTTTAAAAACAATACACATCTAAGACAGCAACTCAAACACAAACAGGAAGGAGGGTCAGTATGGCAATGCCAAGCAAAACAAAAAAAGGCTTCACCCACTGGCAGAAGACAGGCCAGAATTCTATTTTTGGGGTGGCAGAACAGAGAAGGCCCCTTCACAAGTTGCCACCCGTCTAGCCTCAGATAACGGGGGCACCCAAAGCAAGGCTCCTGAAGAGGACTGGGAAGGTCAGGTAGGTTCATACAGGAGTGAGAGGAAATTAAGGCATACTGGTCCCAAGTCATATAAACATCCTTCTTTCTAGTTTCTTCAGCTTTAATTATATTACTAGAAATGAGCCCCCCCCCCCAAGCCATGAACACATGGCCTATTTTCATGCATCTTCCAATACAATTATAGAGTAACATGGGCAGGTTAGCTGGGAAAAGCATAAAATTCCTGTACTGGAGTTGCACGCGAGCACACATATGCGGTCACAGTACGCATATTGGTGGGAAGCCAGCTTTAACGCTGTGCTACAAAGTTATTAGCTATTCATGTAAAACTGAAGAATCCATCTTTGTCAACAGATCTGGGTCTTGACAATTTCATAGCCTTATGCTGAACTGGAAATACATGTTGGCGGAGACTTCTCAGGCAGAAAGCCAGGCAGTTAAGTCCATCTAACACAGTGAACTGACAGCCTTTGGAGACTCTACCCTCTCAGTCAACACTGGAGTTGTCCTTAGATGTTTAGCTGAATCATTCAGCCACATGTAATCTGCACGGGCTACTTTCCAGTGCCAAGTATCAGTTCCAAACTTTGCGTAGAAAGTGCTGGCAGTTTCCCAAAAGAATGCATTTGCAACATGATGCTTGGTCTGAATATGGCATTTTGACATACCGTCAGACTGGTAAAGACACATACATGAAAGCTGCAAGTAATTAACATTAATAACTTGATGTTAATAGAAGTCAACATGCCACCTCAGTTCTTCATACTAAACTGCCCCCTAGGATTGCGGAAAGGGTGCATTTTTCTCAAAACGTCTGTTACACAGGTACAGTTAATGTTAATCAAGCACAGTTGTTCAGTGCTCTGAGCACACAGAATTGTTATGTAGGTCTCTAAGCAAAGAGTTCAAGCAGCTATAAATCAGTCCTGAGCTTTGCTACCTTAACCCGCTTCCTTTTCAAATCTCAGTCAAGATAATGTATTCAAAGTTCAGAGAGGGTCACTGCAATAGTGGAAAGAAACCAAAGACATGTTTCATGCAAGAGATTCTGATCCAGGTTCCTGTCTAATCAGCATTCTGTTTTAAGTCAGGCCACATGCAGGATTTTCACAGCAACAAAGCAGTTCAGGTCTCAATGCAAAGTATGTTGGTAAAACCTTAATTCCTATTTTGCAAAATGGCTACTGCACAACTTCAGTTCATGGAGGGAGGGGTCAGGAACAGCAAACAAAGTTCACAGTAAAAAGTTATATGATTTAAGTACATACCTGGTTATTAATCGTATAATTAATAACTTTAAGCCATTCATTAATAGAAATGTCATTATCAGATTGAATTAATAATTCTGTTCCTTGTCGTGTTTTCAGCTTTAAGAGAAAAGAAACCAGAGCATTAGAATTAAAGTACTTATGAGCAATCCTGAAGAATATACTCTTATTACAGGAAGATTAATGACATTAGAGGTCAATGATTCTAAAATGCATTTTGCCTCCTTATATTTTACAGCAGTAAGTGCAAATCCTAAAAATAGTTTTACTGTACAAATCTTTAGGAAATGTCCAACAGTGCCCCATTCCCCTTAACAGACAAAATAAAGTCAGACAAAAAGAAAGATAAAAGTCACCTCAATCACATTCTTCTTGCTAGATTTCTCCTTCGAAGCCCAGTCAACAACTGCGCCCCTGAGATCAACTGTGAATTCTGGCTTAGACTGGTTCCCAAACTTCTGGGGGGGAAACAAGCAAGCATTAACTCGTTTTTTTAAACTACAGGGATGCCATATTAACCCAGTGGCCACAAGACAGCCCCCAGAAACACAAACTTGGTCTCGACATCTTTATTTTCCTCACCCCTACCTCATTAGGTTTTCTTCCTTTCTTTTTTTGAATGCTACATACTGAATTCTCCTTTAACACCACCCTGCAAATGTTGGATGGGTTGTGAGGGAGAAGACACAAGGCTGTTGTTAGGGAATATCAACAGTCCTCTGTTCCACTAGAAAGGAACATAAAGGAGGAAGTGAACAAATTGGTTGAGGAGGGTACAAAGTAAATATTTATGTGGTAGTGGAAGGGTTTCTGGTACCTCCTAGTGATGAAACGGAGGAGAAACTGAATTCTCCATTCTCTCCCACACACACACCCAACTTCCCCCATTTTTCCAACAGGAAAACAGGAAACTGGAGGGGCTTTATGAAATGTTTTCTTTTCTAATAAGCACAATGTTATTAATACATTCTACTCATTCAGAATGTATAGTAATAGATCAAAATGTTGTGATAATAATAAAAAGTGTATAGATTTTAATGTAAGCCAGTTTACCAAAGGAAAGAATAATTCCAGCATACAGACAAATGCAACAATCCAAGATGTATTTTTTCATCAAAACGTGTGAGAGGAGCAGACGGGGCCTTCTTTACTTGGGGAATGCTTTTTGCCTTTATCTGGTGACTTTGATCGAGCTCTGGGGAAACAGCAGAAGCCAGTGCTGTTTCTTAACTTCCCCACTCTTTTGTCAAAGGAATGCTACAGACCCCACCCACACACTAGGAAACAAGCAGCTTAATTCCCTGTCTTGCTATAGGAGAGGTTGGTACTTTCAGTGATATGACTATTGTTTAAATGGGACTATTTTTGTTTACAATTATATATATACTGCTGAGCAGTTCAATGTTATAGTTTAATTCAATATCCAGTTATGGTAATAGTCCAGTTGTGACTGTAGGAAACTTGGCTGTCCACCTAAAAAAAGTTTGCTGTATACTAAAAAAATGTGTTCTCTTTTCAGCTTTTGTATTTTGTTACTTATCAGATTTTATTTATTTAAAATATTTTAAAGTTGCCTTTACACCCATCTTACGGTCCCCAAGATGATGAACAATAGAAAGATTAAATCAAGCTTAAACACACATTTCCTTCTAAATTTTCTTCCCCCGCACCCAAACATTTATAGAAATTTTATAACCCTACTCCCTCTCAAAATGCTCTCTAGAGTGTCTCAAATTATACATTGCAACAGGAAGATTACGAAAGCATGCTTGAGTGATTCTATGTTGAAATTTAAAGAAAGTGATGCAGCCTCCAGATAGACACAACCTTTCAAACACATAATCCTGTCTATTGTTACAGTAATTAGTCCAAAGGTGGAGCTCTGATAATTTGTATCTTGTTCAGAATATGCAACAAGTGTATAATGCAACAAGTGTATTGCATGGCTAAACAAACAGAAAGAGTGGCCTAAAGAACATTCCAAGTCCAATCGTCTCCTTATTTAGATTGTGTTTATCAGCTCCACCCCATTTTGTGTGGTTACACATGATCCCAAGTGCGTGAGCAATATGAACAGGTGGAACCTCCATCTCCCATCACGAACGCTTTTCTGGTCACTGAACAGGGATTGCATAAAATTTGTGATTAAACTCGGTGCTTCCAACTTTTGTTTAGAGTCAAGAATGACAGTTCTTCTGTTTGAAATTTTACATCTTGTTTGCAAACCTAATTAAATTGTAATGACCAGTTGAGGACCTCGTATATGTTTATACTGAGTAGAATAAAACAGAACATCCTATATGAGGCAAGTTGGTCAGAGTTGAAGACGTCTGCTCTGCTGCCTCTAACTGCCCTTAAGCTCTGCCTGTAGTGTCTGTTCATTATCCACTGTTGAATTTGCTCAGTGATTTCAGGGCATCACTAAAAGGAGAGTGGCCACGACAGCAGCAGAGTCATATGAGTGCAAAGTGTGGTATTTTGCCAGCCCCGTTCCCTGAGTCCTTCAGCTGTTCTGCAGAGACAAAAAGGAGTGCCTTGGGTTCCTCATAATCCCTGTTTGGTAATTTATTGTAATTCAATGGTTCTAAACTGTTTTTACAGCTTTGTAAGACGCTGAACTGCAGACCGGAACGTCGGTAGTTCAGCAGTCTGAGACCTGAGTGCCGCGAGACGAAGTGAGCTCCCATCTCTGGCCCCAGCTTCTGCCAACCTAGCAGTTTGAAAGCAAGAAATTGCAGGTAGATAAATAGGCACCGCTTCGGTAGGAAGGTAACAGCATTCCATGTGCCTCAGCATCTAGTTATGCTGACCACATAACCACAGAAACGTCTCAACAGTGCTGGCTCTTCGGCTTGGAAACGGAGATGAGCACCGCATGCCTAGAGTCGGATTCGCCTGGCTTTCGAGCAAGGGAAACCTTTACCTAAACTCCCTTAGGTGCTAATATCAATAGAAAGGATATATATACTCTAAATAAAACATAAACAAGCCACCTCTGAAGATAAATGTTAGTACTACCAATGCTAGCTAGAACAAGAATGTGAGGAGAGGGCTGTATCTTAGTGATAAAATATGTGATTTGCATGCAGAGGCCTCACATTCAACCCAGGTAACTCCAATGTAAAGGATCAGGTAGTAGTGATGTAGAAGATCTCCGCTGGAGACCCCAGAGAGCAGCTGGCTGTCAGAATAGATTATATTGACCAGGATAAAACTAGTGGTTTGATTCAGTATAAGGCAACTTCAAGTGTTAATAGCTAGGAAAGGGTCACAATCCTTTCCCATCTAAGTACTTGTGCCTCAGCATCTATCGACACTGTTGATACTTCACAGAGTGCTCCCAGTTCCACATTTTTGTTTTGCTGAAACTAGTATAAGGAAGCTTGAGCAAACATGTCTGATGACCTAGGGCTGTTCCAAGGTTCCTCAGTTTCCATGTACATTGTATCAGTGATGCAAGCGGATTAACACAAAAGAGTAATTTCCCCACTAAAATTGTGTGAAATCAGCTTCTTATATGGGGAACAGTGATTGCTTCTGCTCTTTTTCAACCTGGTAATGCCATAGAAATTACCTCTGGTGTACTTACCCAGCTAGTTCCACCTCCCTGAGTCTTGGTAAACAATAGTGATGAACCCTGCAATACAGCCCATGACGACATCCAATTCTTCCTGTGAAGAGGGTAGACATTTATACAGTGTGACACATTTCTCAAGCATTTTAAACGTAACAAAGTATAAAACAAAAGAATTTAAGTGTTACTTGCCGAACTTTTTTCCCATTTTCTGTTATTTTTGTGACATTTAATAATCCATATTTCTCTTGGCCCTGGAGAAGAGAACATTCAGCAAGTCAGTAAAAAAGAAGCTCTCTGGTCTTCTAGTGTGCAGACAGTTTCCTGCAGATATAAAAGGTTGCTAACCGGGTTGCAAAAGGGTAGTCCCAAGTATATGCACTCTGAACTTTATTAAACCGTTTACATCATTGCCTTTTCCCATGGCTCAAGACAGCTTACAAGTCACAGTTAATGCATTATAATTTAAAACAGATCAAATAAAACCACAGATCCCTCCCTCCCCTTCTGTTTATCTCTCAAAGATCTCTCAACATTATTTACTTTAGGTAAGTGTTCAAACCAGCCTTGCCAAAAGTTACTAGCCCACAACATTTTTACTAGTGCATCTGTCTATGCGCCTATGGCCGGTAAGGCAGTGGCGGGGGGGGGGGCGGCTTTTTGTAAACATTTCATACGCCTAGTTGCTACCAGTGACCAGACCGTAGCTACTGCAAGCTCATGTTAAATGTTCCTTGACAAAATTTTGACAATTAGGTTGATTTTCAAGGTTGGAATTGGAAAAATCCTAGGGCTTCTCTCAAAATTGAACCATTATGTTTTACAACAATTTTTAATAATCTTAGCCTACACCTTGGGGAAACTGACAGCATCATACTTGCTTCATCATTACCTTTCAGTATTCCTACATCTGCATTAATAATTTCAAATCTTTATACTGATAAAAGCTTATTTCTGCTTACAGAACCAGTCAACACAGATTGGCAGATCAATTTAAAATGCCAAACAACTGACCATGCCTAGTGCCATTCATCCATTAAGACAGAACTTCATTACATATGTACCAAAAGCCAAGCAATCTGATGTTGAACATACTGAGCACATGAAGCTGCCTTATACTGAATCACTCTCAGTCCATCAAGGTCAGTGTTGTCTACTCAGACTGGCAGAGGCTCTCCAGGGTCTCAGGCAGAAGAGGTCTTTCCCATCACCTCCTACCTGATCCTTTTAACTGGAGATGCCGCCAGGGACCGAACCTGGGACCTTCTGTAAGCCAAGCAGATGCTCTACCACTGAGCCACAGGGACCGAACCTGGGACCTTCTGTAAGCCAAGCAGATGCTCTACCACTGAGCCACAGCCTCTCACAATTGTTAAAACAATTCCAGCCACAAATTTCCACTAAGATTATTTTCCCTGCACATACACACACACAAAAAATGTTTTATGCAACACCCTCCCCTCTGCCAGGTGAGACTAACCATCCAGTTCCAAACATGAGCTTGTTTATCATTCTGGTGCACTGATTAGCATCATTTTATCTGCAGCACTAATTCAGAAGGACAGTTTGCAGGACTGGCCCACATGAAGCAAATTCTATGAACCTCCCTGTTGATGTGTGAACAGTTGGTAGTAATCAGTGTGATCTAGGATAGGATAGGAGAGAGATCCCTGCTATGGACTGCATTAAACGAAGGTAGAGGCAAACTCGCCCTGATAAAGGAAGATTTTGCTTGTCATAGTAAATGTGCCTGCTTTACTGAGAAAACCAAAATATTCTGAGGGCTACATAACCCTACTTCTTCCCTTTTCCACTGACCTATTTGTCCGCAGTGCCCATAAGGAATCTGCCCAGATGACCAAAGCTGGACACATGACTGAAATGAGCACAAGGGTTCAAAATTACAACTGGTTCTCTAGATGCTAGCTGATGTGCTGAGAAAAGCAACTCACATACTTAACATACACAAAAAATAACAGATCTGTCTAAATCTGATGAACTTGTTATATTATAATACAATGTTTATACTGACTGTGGCTTGATGCTTTGGTGAGGAAGGAGAGGATGACTCGCTGTCAGGAAAAGTGATCCTTGAAACAAGTGGAGATGAAGAATCCTACAAAGGGAAAATGCATTGAAATATTGACACCACGGATATCAAACAGAAGCTCAAGATTTATAGAATTTGGACAGAATTACAGAGAAGGCATCCAATACTAAGACATGAGAGAGACAAATACGTCCAAGACTAAACTAGCTCTCATTCCATTGATTATTATAGGCGCTGATTCTGTCTTGTACAAAAGCACTCTACTAATACTGTCTATACATAAATCATGTTTCAAATACTAACTTGGTCCTGATGTGTTGGGAACAAATATGCAGGATTAGGCAAGAGCTGTTCAGAAGAATTAGTAGGCAACTGTAAAAAAAGAACTATTTTAATATAACATTACTTTCTCATAGATTCTGTTGTCAGGATTGGTTTAAAATAATGTATACAATGACTTGTGATTAAAACTTATTTGTATCCTTTACAGATGATAGCCAAGCTTTCTGAAATAAGCATAAATTATGCATTCAGTAATGCTCCCACACCAGCCTACCAACCCCCCCCCCCTGCTCTTTAATGATTAAGGAGGTTGGAAAGAAATCAGAGGCATTTTTCCTGAAGGCACTTGAAGGTTATTTTCCATTAAAAAGCAAAAATGCAATCCCAGCAGAGCTGGCTAACAAAAGTGCTTTGTAACAGTATCCTCCCCCCCCCCCCCACAACTATTTTATCAGATAATTTTAATGCTGATGACGGATTAAGAAACTGTGAAATTGCTACCTACCTTTAGATCCTTACATAGTACCTGTTTTGCTCAAAGCACTTCATATCTATGCCTTTTATTAAACTTGAGCATTTAAAAAAACCACACGATGCAGGCTAATTCCTTTGTTCCTTTCTCCTAAATTCCGACTATTAACCCTCACTCATTAGAAAAGGAAGGTCTAATGAAGTGTCAACCTTCATAGTTTCCAAATGGTCCATAAAGGAAAACTTGATATTTTGGCAAATGAGCAGGGCAATACATACAATTGCTTGTACATACTGACAATAATTGCAATTCAGCAAGAGGCACATGTGCATACCACCTTCTTGATTTCCGCCTCCTAGCAATTCTCAATGAAAGAGATTTCTAAGGCTAAGAGATACTGCAGCCATTAAGACTATTTTGGCATAACATACTCCCTCTCCCCCATCTTGGTACTGAGACCAGCTCTCCTTTGCCAGTCCCATGAGACTCAGAAAACAAGTCTCAGGCCATCTACAGTACAAAGACTGACAGCTAGCAGAGAAGGGTGGAATCAGTCCACATTATGTCATCATGCTCACTGGCGGGAAAATACAGCCTTAACAAAAAAATAAGCACCTCTCCTTTGCCTAACCCCAGACCATTAATCAGGCCTTCTTAGTACTTAATCAAGGTACATTTAGACAGCAAGGAATCCTCTGCATTTGACAAAACCTAGATCCAGATTAGCATTTTCACCTAAGGGTTCTGAGTTCACACTACCGCTGAGAGTTACTGGCTGCTCATACAGAATATCCGTGCTTCAGATTTTTTTTCCCTGGAACCATCACAGCTATAACCACCTGTGCTTCACACTCTTGCTTTATCTCTGGATTTTTTTGGAATTTACTGCACTTTAATGTGGGCATTCCAGTATGTGGAACTGTTCCCATTTCTTATGACTATTTTGTGTGCTAATTGTTTCCTTCAGTAAGTCTCTCTTGGATTTCACTACACTCAGCAGTTCAGTATTTCTTTCAAGTCTGTGCAAGGAGCTTCATCACTTTTTGGCAAAAATCTCAAGACTGCAATCTATGTTGGTCTTTGCCTAGATGTGGCTAATTCCCTTAAATCAGCTATAAGATCTAAGCAAGTAGTTCTTAAGAGTGAGAAGTGGCTGAAAGAAGGTTTTCTTCCTGATGTTGGGACAGAAAAGAGGGTGCAAATGACTCTGCAATCACACATGGTAACATGGTAACAACAATGCCATAAGTGTGTGCTAATTTGCAAAACCAGAGTGATACCAAGATTGGGAGTTTAGCTGTTCTTCAATGTCCATATATACGGAGTTAGTCATTCAAAAGACGTAATAAAATAAAGCCATCTGAAAGAGCCACTGACTGCATTCTATTGAGAAAGTCACCAGTGAACATGATAACAGAATATCATGCTCAGTATCTGCCAGAACTCAGTACGAATAACTGGACTACCTGCAACAATTCCCTGAAGATTTTTTGCATTTCCATATTCCTAGGAAGAAATTGTATATTTTAAGTTTTGACTTAAAGTCTAATTTTCCTACTAATAACTGAATGATACAGTGGACAAACTGTATCCTTTTGGCATACCTTCCTCCCAACTCTCCCAAAATGCTTATTCATTTCATGTAAACAATATTCTGTATTATAACAAATAGCCCCTGAACAGTGAATTTATAGCTCTAGCCACTCTTCCTATTGCACTGGAATCAAAAGGCAAACAGTTATTCCAGTAGTTCCAAAAGCAGAAAGTTATCCACAGTGTGCTAGAAATCCCGCCCACTAAACACTGCTTTGTTTCAAATCAGCATGATGTCCATCACTATGACGGAATACGTTAAACTTTAAAGATTTACAAGGTCTGGGGTCAGAATTTCTGAAGGAACATCTACTCTCATAAAGGCCTGACCTACTGTTCGAGTCATCTTCAAGGGTTCTGGTCCAAATGCCACTACCGCCAGAGGCACAGTGGGCAACTCTGAAAAACCAGGCCTTCCCGTTAATGGCTCCCAATTTCCATTCTCTAGGGAAGTCTGTCTGGCCTTTTCACCTTAATTTTCAAGACATGTCAAGGCAGTTATCTTTCATAGAACTCTGGAGGAAACATAGGGATTGGTGGATTGGATTTGCAGTGTTCATCGAGCCTGATACTGTGGTAGCTCTCAATCTTGCTTGTCTTAAGCAGGTTCTTTACACCACTCCTCTTTCATAAGCTGCCTAGTGGCATATAAAGACTTAAATTTGAAAAAATTACACTGTCCCATAACAGACCCAGGAACTATTCATTCTGTGAGAGAAAGTAAAGTAGCTGACACCAGGGAAATCATTGCTGTACCACCCCCGTTCCATATCCTGAAGATTACCAATGTCTGTCCCAGTTGTGTTCCCAGCTGCAGCTACTTAATTTTCTTCTGCAAGAATGAATAGTTCATGCTGAATGAATGAAAGCAAATACAGCTTATCATGCCGATGTGCATTCTTGTAACTCTGAAGTAAATACATTAGTGTATTTAACAAACAAAGTAACGAATATTCATCAAGGAAGCAAATGTAAATGGGGCAATGATCTTATGGAAATACAATTCAGATTAAATAGCCTATTGGGATCAGCAAGTAAGTAACAATTAGACAACAGTTACTTTATTATATGTGAGCCATCAAATAATTATATGTTCTTTAAGACACTCCTACCTTGTCATTGGTATCTAACACAATCGTACTGTGCCTCCACTTTGTTAATACAATTGGTTCCTGTAGCCGTCGGTCCAGGCTCCTGCTTTTAATGATCTCTCTTTGCTGCTGTGGTGAAGCATTATACTAAAGAAGGAGGGAAAGCCACACACTGTAAATAAAATCAAACCAGTCATGCAAATGACAGCCCCATAACGTAACACAACCCACTAGTAGCTACTTTCATGCCATACATGAAAGTGCAAGGAGAAAACCTGTATCCCCCCCCCCCTTAATATTTTCTCCAAGTAAGCTGACACACATTTGATTAGGGTCCTGGAGTTTTGTTTATAGGCTCCACAGCTGATGCCTCGTTCATGGCAAAAACTATGGCTCCACTGACTTCAGGATTTCCCGAATGACTAAGTAGCATGAGAATGTGTCCTCGTGACATTTGCAATGTGGGGCAAAGGCAATCAAGATCCACAACAGCCTCCCAATACCCCTACTCAAGTCTTTGTGTCCCCAAATCTGGTTTCAAAAGCAGCACAAATTGATGATTTCAGTATTAAGCATGAAAACGTGATGCCAAAAAGAACAAGAAACAAGGAGGAAGGGCTATTTTCAATCACTGTTGTGGTAAGATCACAGAAAATCTGATTACTTCTAAGTAATACAGAAACATAATATGTCCTGTCTGCCACTTGCATATTGAAATTATGATAATTTTATGCAGGTTAGCATGTGAGGTGCAGCCTTCCAGCTCAATGTGTTTTGGATATATTAAACTGTTCACCCTTGATGTATACGCATCACTCAGTAAAATTTATAAGCTGGTGAAAGGGGGGAAAGTGGGTGTGAAATGGGATGAAAACATAGTTCATAACCTTAGAAAGGATACAGCGTGGCAGCTTAACAAGCAGGTAGTAACAAGAAGTGACTTGTTAATTAAATTAGTTGCAAGACAGCATCACAAGTGAAACTGAGTAACTGGACTGCTGTATCAAACAATACCCCCTACCCACAGTGGCCCCATACATTGTTCTTACAATACATATTCCATGCAATGTCTACCACAATTAGAAACACTGTAGCACAGCACTACTGAAGTTCCTCAATATTAGAAATTAAAGGTTCAAGTGTAATTTCATAAAACGATTCTGAAGGCCATTAATTTACTCTGAACTACACGGTACAAAGACCTGGCGTAGTCCTGCACAAACATGAGCCCTTTACATGGAAGACCTGTTGAGGGCAATATCACACCTGCTGCCCTCTCCTGTGCAGCTTATGTGCATGCAAACTATACAGGTAGTAGGCCCACGCAGCTAGGAACACTGCTTTTACAGGACTGCCGAAGGCAGACAATGATGCGTGCACATAGGCTCTGTGCTGATGCTATGGAAGATGTGTGTCAGTAGTGGGCAGCAGGAGGTATGATCTTGTCCCCCTCCCCCATTTCAGTTCTATATACATGCTCATGAGATATTTACAGGGCTAGTCAGATTTCAAACCTCTGTATACATCATAACAAACAATAGAATTCATGCTTCATCTGTTGCCAGACTTTAAACATATACATAGCATTTTGAGTTTTTGGATTTATTCTGTATTAATTCAGTGCACAGGAATGAAAGACAGGCAGGAACTGTTAGTTAATAGTAGGTAACATTATAGGATCATGTATGTATTTTCTGCTGAAACTATTTCCTTACGTAAACGAGAGAAGAATCATCATCAATTTCTTGTACGTTTATTGCAGTCTCTCTCAAGCAAAATAAAAAGTCAGGTGATGTTTTTAATATTAGCTTACACCTTACCGAAACCAGTGTATTAATTCAATTTAACTCTGCTGTTTTTAACTCTTTAATTCCCTTTGATTGATGGATTCTCCACCATTAGCATGACTTCAGGCAAGATATATTGTTAATACCCAGGAGTACTACTACAGTCAAAATCAGTTTTCCAGATATCTAAACACAAAGTGAGGTTTGTTCAGTCAGGAAAGACATTTATCATTCTGTGCAAAGCTGCATATCCTTTAAATAGTGGGATTAGGATATCATTGATTACACAGGAGAAACACAGACTTTTCTCTTGTACAATAAAGCTGATCTGCACAACAGTCGAATATTGTGATATAGGATGCAGCATAACAAGAAAAAGAGTCATGCTGCCCCCAACCCCACATACAGCGCAGGGCTGAAAAATTTTCAGAATCAAGCACCTGAGTGTAGGTCATGTCTCAGCAGCTATCACAGAAAATGCTTTACTTACAAACCAGAGGGAACCCCAGAATCAACTCCAAGCTCAGTGAAAACTATCAGCATATGTGTCAACTACCATTAAAATGTCTGTTTTGATATATGTGCATTATTTTAGGACTCCTCCACCAATTTAAAGGGTATGCTGTATAGTTTTATGGCTAACTCTTGACATAATGTTAACACAGAGGAATTCCTGAACGTTTATGGTACAAGTTTAATCCTCATCTATAATAAGAAGTTGAAGTGATAAGCATCTGAAGAAGCAAGCTCTGACGTGCAAAAGCTCATGCTGGAATAAATGTTGTTAGTCTTTAAAGTGCCACTGGACTTCTGTCTTAATTTGAAGTGATCCCAGCCTGTAGTTGAAAATGTTTTAGGTTAACATCATCACTAGACAAGCTTGTCCTTTTGGGGGTTTCTCCAACGTGGAAAGGGTGTAAGCCAGGTATTAACCTTAGAACAGAAGTAAAATTGAACAGCTAGATATTTTGTTTAAAAAGCTATACTGACTTAATAGCAAACAGACCAGTGAAAAACTCTAAAATGAACACTGAATATGCAAAACAAAAAACACCATAAAAAGACTAAAATATCTGGCGAGGATACGCAGTTTAGACTTGAATAGGTGCACTGTTAGAAGAAACAGAATGGTATCATAGCACTACTCTCCTAAACGTACAGCATCACATGTCACAGTTGTAACTGACAGCACAGGTCCAGATTAGAATTATGGGATTTGTAAACTTTTTTTTTAACAATTGAGGAAAATATTTAGAGTAATGAAATCCCAGTGATGTATCATCACCATATGCATCTACAGCACATGAGCACAGCTCAGCCAGGAATTCACTAAGTAATGAGCAAGCCACTCAGTCTCAGCATCCAGCCTGTAATAAGAGAATAATGCTAGTTTATTTTACAGGGCTATATGTGTAAAGCACTGTGACTACCTTTTCTCTGGTACAAACTGACGGGACCTTCGGACCAAGAGCAATGCTGTTACCCAATTCTCACAGTATTTCGCTTCTTTGTTACTTTGCTAGCTAGTAGTAACTGAGCCTATGGAACAGGACATACCATGCCATTCATGTGTATTCCAAATCATGCGGAGTCAGGCAGTGACATTCTGTGAATCAATTCAACCCATGCAGCCCTAGTTGCATTGTTATTCATGCCCCAAAAGGTATGATTAAGCAGAGGTTGGGGGAGAACAAGCAACACATGGGAAATATATGCACAGATGTGTGGCTATTCCCCAGAGGACACTTGTAATCAAAATTAACAACTGTAATTTCTGCCAGGGAGCTGTGGGCTATTGTCGGGTTTGCAAGGAAGGCAAATGAGAAAGCGGGGGTCTTCTTCTCATTCTCTAATTTTGTGGCATTAACAGGGGGGAAAGGGAAAGCCCAAAGTGGTGGTCGCGGTGGGTAGAAAATGTGTATTTTACAGCTCTCTTTGTTTTGGCATTTCACAGATATAGGGGTTAAGCACCCTTGACTCACCTGTCTGCAGTATGTGGAATGTGAATTTCCCTCCGTTTTTCCCCCAGTGGCAATTAGATCCACAGTTAATCCTCTCCCTCTGCTGTGAATGGCTGCAGAAGGTAGACCGAACATGAGCCTATGGTACACAGAGAAACCTGCCTCCTGCCCATGCAGTGCTCACACAAGCAATTCACCAAATCTGGAGTGCACCCAAAGAGGAAGAAGCAGTAATGTCTCAGATACACTTAGTCTGAGCAATTTACATGCACAGAGGCATGGAGCAACTAAGACCACAATGGAAACTTAACCATTCAAATGTTTTGGACTATGATTTTGCAGGAGGACGGCTCTTTCTAGAGCAGCCCTCCTGATGCTACAAAAGATAAGATGACACCTGCAGCTGTGGAGCAGGGAAAACAGCTGTTGACTTTATAGTTTTAACTATTTCCTATTCAGTTCTGAGGCATCTGAGCCCAGATCCAGCAGGCTGCTATCTGCCAACATAACTCATCACCACAACCCCATGGTGGTTGTGTAACTAACCATAATTCTCTAAACCTAATTTTTCAGATAGCTGTCCTTGAACTGTCTTTTCTCTACTTTAAAGAAGAAGAACTATGTTGGAAAAAGTACAGCACAGTTGCACTCGAAATACAGATGCAGCCTCAATCTTTCAATTTAAAGCTGTTCCAGCACCATTACAAAATTGCACACAGACTTGTCTACTATTTCTTAGTTTCAGTTTATGCTATTTTGAAGTTACTTCCAAATCCAAATACAACAACAGAGTTAATTGTAAACACTAGCACAGATGTGCAAGCCCTGAGATTTTTCCCTCCTCACATCCTGCTACTGAAAACCATGACATTAGACTGTCTGAGGTAGCATAAGGGGGAAGAGATTATAAACTTAATAATTCACAAATCTGTACATCTCATATCACTTGGGACTAGATTTATTCCCTAGTCCCCCAACCCTGATCAAATTAATGCATTTTTTTCTGGCACTAATGTTCAAGTACATCTGACTGAAGGCCATAACCAGCAACTTGGATTCTCTGCTAAGTGATGCCTCCGCAGCTTGCCTGAGGCAACAGGTATAGCAGATTGTTCTTTCTTTATTTCCTTCCAAATCAGGATAAGGGAAGGGATGGGGGAAAGCTAGAGTTGTCGGCTAATATTTATCATATTAGATTCAAACATTGCAAAGCCTCAAAAACCAGTATTGAATCCCAGGAATCAGGAAGAGTATTGTCTGCTTTGAAAAAAGTTATACTGCCAACCAGTGTTCCCTCTAAGCTGAGTTAGTGTGAGCTAGCCGACAGTTTTTTTAGCCTCCGGCTAGCACATTTTTACCTTAGCTCAAGAAGGATGGCTCCAGAGCAAACTAATTTATGCAGTAGCCAAATCGCTCACTCACAACTTCAATGCCAGGAGCTCACAAAGTAGAATTTTGGCTCACAAGACTCCACAGCTTAGAGGGAATGTAGCTGCCAACTACAACTTTTCAGTGGTACTAGGAGCGGATGGAAGCAAAATAAACATGTAATGCTTTTGCCTTGCTTCTTTCTAAAAGAAAGTTTCAGGCAAACAAATTCTCTGTCCTACATCTCGATCCTTGTTACATGAAGATTTTGCAAAGTGCTGTTTAACACAAGAGAACAGAGGATTCCTGTGCTCATCACTGTCGTCCATCATCTTTGATTTTCTTTGACAACTTTGGGGAAATATATATTTTTTTAGTTTATATTTTTTAATTTAAGCATTTTTAAATAAAAAAATATCTTGATCAAGAAGAAGCCAACCCGGCTCAATCACTCCTCTCCCCATAATCAGTATTCTGGACAGAATCAAAACTGGAAACACTTCTGAAGTCTGCTCCTCTTTTGACTTTCAGCAGTTCTGAAAGATCACAAAGTGATCTCTGGCTCAGATGTTAAAATTCCTGTTACTCTTCCTCCTCTCCCCTATTAAATTGGTTGTACAGCATCCATTGGATTCCCAGCATTTACTGGGTACCACACATGGTAAGCATCTGAGTCACTGAAGGGGGGGGGGGGGGGGGAGATTGGAGAAACAAGAGTTCCCCTCCTCTCAGCTTGTTCTTGGATGAGCTGGAAGAACCTGTGTAGCTTCTTGATGATACTGGGATGTGCCATGGTGCTCCAAGTACTCTGGAACAAGTTCTCAATAACATGAATTTATTATTGATTAATTCATAAATAAGATTGGTTTGTCCAAGGCCAGTTCTGAGAACAGTTGGGGAAGCCTGATAAACCTCTCTTTGAAGCTATGTAGTTCTAGACTAGTTATGGATGGGAGAGCACCTGCAAACTCCATGTATGAAACTTTTGGCTCCATGAAGGGCCACATAACATAACAAAGCATCAGTCATTTTGCAAAGCAGCAGTTTTACCTATATTTACCTAAATATCTAAACAGATATTTAGCAAAAGAATTTGGCTTATGACCAAAAACTTACTGACATTCCTGTAACTTCAGTGTTTTCATGGTAAAGCTGTCTTGAAAACAGTGCTATCATTCACACTGGATCATATTGTACCCCTGACTATATAAAAAGCATACCCAACAAGCATACTGGAAGTCCAAGTTCAAATTGTGTGTTTAGTTTGCAGTGAAGGGGCTGAAGTGCATCAGGCCGTCTAAAAATTGTTTTTCAGTTTAAAAGTCTGGCCCTGCAAGCCACTGTGCATACTGAATTCAAAGATCTTATTTTCACTTATAACTGTTAAATTAACTTGGAAATTAATTTTGATAGCAGATGCTTAAATTGTCTTCAGGGATTTTGACCTATATGTTGAAAACAGTTAAGACTTAATTCCCCACTTGTTTCCTGCATTCCTTCTTTGTCTCAGGCACCCGTCTCATGAGTATTTCTAAATCATGAAGAGTTTTGCCAGTCAATACTCTGAGATCAACCCCTCACCTCTTAAATTTCTTCCACAAGCATTTCCTGTTCTTCAGTTATAGGTACATTAATTCACTGGGAGAAGGTGAGAAGAGGGAATACAGGTCCTGAGATTGTTCTCCAGTCCATTACCAACTAAATCACCTCTAGGTGTACAGAGACATAAGGAACAAAGCAAAATATAGTTCTTCTAGCATACTTCTAAATTCCTGAACACAGTTCTGATACTTTAAGTGAAACGCCTTCTCTTTGCTGCCTGGGATGACAAATGACTGCTGTTTTGCTAATTTAGTATTTAATTTGGAGGGAAAGTAACCTGACATGGGTAATATACTCAACTTCTTCAATACGCAGTGTAATAGCAGTTTTACAAAGGAATCCATATCTATTTTTAAAAGAATTTTACTACCCATTTTACCTAGTTACAGTGAACAGTTCAAGTCCATTTGTTTCCTAACAGTAAAATCCTGCCAGAATGACAATTGCCACAAGATTGTTCTTTAACAGGTCCGGAACCTTAAAAAATAGGCTTGGCATGGCTAGCAGGACTTTGGATATTTTTCTTTGAACAGAACCTTCACATGCTTACAAACCACTTTTGAAAGTTCCACTGATTTCAAAAGTATTTGCTATTCAGCACAATGTTTGAGAAATTCAAAGCTTAAAGCTACCTCATACATTTTAGAGTTCCATGTTTTAGAGATAAGAACATGCAGATCTGTATAAAGATTACACTATCCCTTGAAGACTGACCTCCAGATTCTGAACACTTCTACCATACCTATTTCTCAGGACTTCTTAGCAATCTAGGATCTGCATTGCCACAATCATATTGCAACCTGCAGAATTTACACACAGGGAGCTTTAACTCTTGAAAGCTTAAACCCTCCACCCCCCCAAATCTTGTAGGTTTCTAAGATGCTATTGGACTCAAAGCTGGCTGTTCTACTACAGACCAGCCTGGCTACCCTCTGAAACAGAAACTATACATTAGCTTCTGCAGAATCATGTCTCTTTTTGAAATTCTATATTGGTTTTAGCACTGTAATTCCTCAAGGGAACAAACAATGGCAGGCACTTTTGACTTATGATTGAGAGCAGATCAGACACAGATCTTCTTGGCATCTTTTAAAGCTACATACAATCACTTGAGACCACAATTCAGATGGACTTCTGTGATCTCTGTTTATCTAATATGACCTTAACTGCATTCAGGACTTTTAGGCTATTCAGGGAACAGATAAGATGACAGGTGCTTTCGAAGATAAATGAAATAAAGGATATGACCAATCCCCTGAAGGTCAGGGTAAACGACAATCTGCTTTAAAATCTATCAAATCAAACAGAAATGTCTACCGGCTTCTTACTGAGTCCTGTGAACAATCCATACCACTCAACTGAGCAAACTACAAAACTACAGGTTGTGCCCACATCAGAAACATGCTGCTTTATTAAACTGCAAATCCACCTGCAGTCTTAAAATGAACTGAAAACGTGACAACCCAATGGCCACTTCAATGGTCTTACATCCCAGATGAACACACACATACTCGCTGTGATGATTCACAACCTTAGAACTCATTCTTTGGGAAAATGTAAAATGTTGTTACAGTTGTTTTAAAACAAGTGCTAAATGAATGGTCTTTCACCTTACTTTTAATCTATTCAAGATTCCACAGGACTTCAGGATGAACTGGACTACATATTGAGAGAAAAAGAAATAGTTTTCTTCACCAAGATTTAGAATTGCCACACAATTTAAAAAAATGAATCATGTATTCCAGAGGTCATGCACCTCTTGTATAAATTACAATACCTGCTGCTTAATCATGAGCCACAAACAATTTTGTTTTTACTACTTACTTTTGGCAGTGCCCATTCTGATCGTGATCCATCTGCGTTATAATAATATGATCGACCTAGTTCATCTACATGCTTTATCCACTGCAGAAACAAAAGTTAGTAAAATGTTTATTAGTAAACTACTTTTCTCACTCCATCAAAGATGAACAAAGCCTGAATCTCCATGGTTACACCTTGGTTCTACTCAAAATCTTGCTGATGCAGCAAAAATTATTATAATCTGTAGTACAGAGTACATCCATCACAATTAGTGTACTGTATAACTGATCAATTTTAAGGTTTGTGATGGTTTCTAATTCAGAACACTAATTTTTTTTTTTTGCACAAATCTAAATCATTATGGAAATGTCTACTACTGCCTAGTTTTTGTTGTTGTTGTTGTTGTTGTTGCATGGGTGGGGACATTACGCTTCCAATACAAGTACTGTTCTTTATTCATGATCTCAGAACAAAAATGTTATGCCTCATATAGTCTACTTTCTCTTTACTAGAATCCTTGTGGTCCACCAATGTGCTTCAAATATGCAAGGCAAGATAATACTCATAGCTCATTCACAGCTGGGAGTAGCTGATCTGCGCTCCTCAGCAATATACTCTTAGTCAACAGTAAAACACTGCTTTGTTGTACCAGACAAGGTCCATCTAGTTCAGCATTCTTCACAAACCTCTTAAAGGCCTACAGGCAGTAGGTGATCACAAAACTGGCCACTGGTTTACCAGTGGATCACAACCTACTGTTGTAAATACAAAGTATATCTTCAAGGGGCTTTGTTAGAATATCTTTGGCATGCATTGTGAAGGATCAAGTTCTTCACAGAAGCTCATTTGGAGCGGGAAAAGTAATTTGCTAACTTTAGGACACCTATTTGATATCATATTGAACAGGATGTCATTGAACTGAAGGGCAACTATCTGAACACTACGATGCTTAACAACATCTTTAGAAATCCAATTTAGAAATCCAGCAGCTATAATCCTAGACATACCTGACAAAACCAGTCATTATTTGCTGAATTTTAAAGCATCTACGTGAACACACAGCATATTGTCTACAGCCCAAGACTTCATGACTTCCCAGCTGCAGCAACTTCTCCACTGAAGAATGTTTGCACATAATCTGCCACATGCCAAGGCAGAGAAAGTCTATGTCTATGCCCTCTGTCAAGGTTGTACATTTACATAGTTAAAAAACCCACCTGAATATTTTGTGCATTGCTAACATTTAAATCCTTTGCCTGAGTGGCTAAAAAGCACATTCTGGTTTGTTCTACTGTCTCTAGCTTTTCAGTTTCAAGATGGGAACCAGCTAAGCATTCTTTGACTTTCCCATTTATCTTTGCATCTTTGTGTGGAGCCAACCAATGTACATTACTGCATTTGGGAAATGGATTGCATCTTAAGTTTCCTACCTATTTGATTCTAGGCCTGGCACCAGTCAGCACTGAAAGCTTATATTTGGCTCCTATTGATGCCTTTAGTCAAAGGTTCTTTTTATTTTCTTTTTTTACCATTTAATACCACATACACTGTTCTTTATAGTAAATCACTTCACCTTTTAAATACAACACAATGTTTTTGGAATCTTTCATACTCAGCCCATCCTGCCATGTGTTGTTATGTTAAATGAATTAAATCGAGAGAATATTGGGGACTGATGAATTCATAAGGTATCCCTGGAAACACATCCATTACAGGTGATGGCAATTCCGTCACGAGTTTTTACAGGGTTTGGACCTTTGTTCAGTTCAGAGAAGCCTGCTGAGGGTGTGGGCCAGAAGTGTGGCCAAACAAAAAGCCTCTGCATGTCCTTCAGCATCTCCACATGTGTTACTGGAGAAATTAACACATTATTCACAGTTTATTAAAAGAAAAACAGGGTGTACTGTGAAATTTAATTATTGTTGTTTCTTGGAGAGCCATTTGTTATGGTATAAAGATCTTTCTATGGCTGTAGGCAAGGTCGGAATTTGTTTTCCTCCAACAGAAATGGGAAGTGAAGTGCAGTGCCCCTCCTTCCACAGAACAACAGAGCTAGACTATGGAATGGTTAGCAAAAACATGCTTAACAACCTTAAATGTCAGTAGAATCAATGCCTCATCCCAATAACAAGACTAGAAGAAACCTAACTTGGAAGGTACCAACTACATATCCCACATTCAAGATCCTTCCAATGACCATGAGAACGACCATTGGTTACTCACCGTGAAGGGTCCTTCTCCTCTGAGGCGTGGAGGACATCTTGTGGGTGATTCCCATCCATCACTCAGGGAGGCAGGAACTAATTTCAACTTCCTGTTTCCTGTGGTGGGAGTCACCCTAGGCTCAGTTCTGGTGCTCCGAAAGCAGTAACAAGAAAGCTAACTTTTATAAACAGAAGCAGAAAAAACTGGAACAATCTACTAACTTGCTATCGAACAACTACCACAGCAACTCAAACAGGAAGGAAAGTTATAAGTCACTCTCTTACTCTGTCTGTTATTACACTGATAGAAGGAAAAAGTGGAAAAGGGACAGAATAACAGCGTAGATGACGACCCGGGAGGGCCAAGATGTCCTCCACGCCTCAGAGGAGAAGGACCCTTCACAGTGAGTAACCAATGGTCGTTCTCCCTCTGAGGTGGAGGACATCTTGTGGGACCTCCCAGAGCAGTGTCCCTAATTTTTGGGAGGGTGCTCGTCATCACAGGAGAGGACAGTTTGTAGCACCCTCCTGCCAAAGGCTGTGTCTGCCGAATCATATAGGTTCAATTTGTAATGCCTAATAAAAGTGGACAGAGAGGACCACGTAGCGGCTTTGCATACTTCCTCTACTGAGGCTCTGTTAGTGAGTGCTGCGTTTGTGGCAGCACTTCTCAGTGAATGTGCTGTGATTCCAGCTGGAGGGACTTGATTTAGGCATCTGTATGCTTCCACTATACATGAGCGGAGAACTTTGCTGATTGCCGCCTTTGACATTTTCTTTCCCGTATGAGGGGGGGAAATGTTCACGAACATAGCATCAGTTTTTCTAATTGAGTCTGTCCTTAGTATGTAACACTTCAGAGCCCTCCTGACATCTAAGGCATGCCAAAGTTTTTCCTTGTAATGAGAGGGATTTGGAACAAACGAAGGTAGGCATAACTCCTGTGTTCTGTGAAATTGGGTGTTGATCTTTGGACCGAATGTAGGATCTGTCCTAAGGATATCCTTGTGAAACACGCAAAGATCTGAGCATATGGATAAAGCACTTAATTTTGAAATTCGTCTGGCTCGAGAACTGGACTGAAATTTCTTTTAGAGGTTTGAATGGTGGAGGTTTTGTGAGGGCCGAAAGAACTGTATTTAGTTTCCAAGTCGGGAATCTATGTTGAGCTGGCGGAAGTTTGAATGACATTCCTCTTAGGAAACAAGTCACGTGCGGGTGCTGAGAAATCGGGATTCCTTTAACGCACGGGAGTACCAAAGCTAATCCTTGCGGTCCTCAGGCCGGTGTTCATACCGTCCTGTAGGAAGCTCAATATGGAGGCCAATTTAGGGTGCAGAGGATCTATTGCCTTCCTTCTGGTCCATCTGACGAAGGCTTTCCAAGTACAATTATAAATTCTAGTGGTTGAAGGGCGTCTGGAAAACATGATGGTATCAACAACCTGGGGATTATAGCCCATCTGTGTTAGTCTCTGCCTCTCAATTCCCAGGCGGACAAAGAGAACCACTCCAGCTTGGGGTGCCAAATAGGACCCTGGGTCAGCATGTCTGGTGTTGCTGGAAGTCGAAGAGGTTGTGATACCGCCAGTTGACGAAGGTACGAGAACCACAGGCATCTCAGCCAGTATGGTGCCACTACTATGACGTGCACCTTGAGAAGATGAATCCTTCGTAGAAGTCTTGGCAGAATTGGGAGCGAGGGAAAGGCATGTAGAAGTCCTCTGGGACACAGGGTTGTCAGAGCATCCGTGCCCTCCGCTTGCAAGTGGTAGTATCTGGTAAAGAACTGTGGAAGATGTGCATTGTTCGGAGTCACGAAAAGATCCATCACGGGTGAACCTAGTGTGTTCGCTATGAGGTGAAACAGTTTCCCATTTAGGGACCATTCGCTCTCCAGAATCCATTGACGACTCAGCCAATCCGCCTGGATGTTCGCCACCCCTTTCACATGTTCTGCCTTGATAGAGGATAGGTGCTTTTCCGCCCACTCCAGCAGCTTCTTGGCTTCTCTGTGTAGGGCCATCGATTTGGATCCTCCTTGTTTGTTTAGATAGGCTTTTGCTGATATGTTGTCTGTCCTTATAATGATGTGAGATCCCTGTATCATGGGTGCGATTTGAAGAAGTGTCAATCTGATGGCTCTCAGTTCTAGAAGGTTTAGGCGTAAACCCTGTTCCTTCGCTGACTACTCGCCCTGGGCAGTATGGTGCTCCATCGTGGCTCCCCACCCCGACAGACTGGCATCCGTGAAGATCTAAATACTTTCTGGAAACCAGAAGAGCTTGCATTGAGTAATGTTTTTTATATGAGTCCACCATTGAAGGCTTTTACCTGGAGGGGGACTTTTATCAAAAAATCCATTCCCATCGCAATTTTCCTTTGAAATGGTCTCAGGAACAATTGAAGCTGTCGTGAATGGAGTCGTCCCCATTGGAGCGTGTCGAAAATCGCCACTATCAGTCCCATCATTCTGGTCAGGATGGAAGCCTTGATGATCTGCAAGGCTAAGGATCTGATCTTCCTAGCTTTTTCTGTTGGGAGAAATAATCTCAGCGATCGAGTATCTATGGTCACGCCGAGGTGCTATAGTCTCTGGGTAGGAACCAGTGAGCTCTTTTTCAGGTTGATCATAAAACCAAACTCTCTTAGGCATTGGATAGTCCTTGTGGTGTGTAGGTGAGACTGTTCTTTTGTCTTGGCTCCTATCAGCAAGTCGTCCAGTTATGGATGAATGTGCACCCCTTGTCCCCTGAGAACTACTCGGTGCACCATGATCTTTGAGAATACTCGGGGAGCTGATGACAGATCAAATGGGAGCACTCTGAACTGGAAGTGGATGTTCTCCACACAGAACCTGAGGAAGATGGGGACATGCAGGTAGGCCTCTGTGAAATCTACAGACGTGAGAAACTCTCCCGGCTGCAGGGACTCAGCAATGGACCGTAGTGTTTCCATCCTGAAATGTTTGGGTTCTACGTATTTGTTGACGAATTTGAGATCCAGGATGGCTCTCCAGTCTCCTGTTCTCTTTGGGACGGTAAAGAATATTGAATAAACACCTGTCTCCTGGTCCGCCTGAGGCACTTCTTCTATGGTGCAAATAAGATGAAGATAGCTGATCGCCATTTTGGTTCTGTGTTGTTTTTGAGTGTTTTTGAATGGAGGAGATGCTATGAACCTGTGAGGAGGTAGTTTTCGAAATTCTATTCTGTAGCCCTACTTCTAGAGTCCAAGCATCTGCTCGGGATGTCAACCAAGTCTGATGGAAGAGTGACAGTCGACCTCCCACCGGAGATTCTAGATAGTCATGCTCTATTTTTAGGGTCCCTGTCTCCTTTGCCCTGACAGTTAAAGTTGGGCTTGGAGAATTTGTTAGAGAATCCTCCTCTATGAAAGGACATCTTGTTGTTCCAAGCCTGTCTCCTTTCTTGTCTAAACCAAGGTAGGGTGTGTTGTGTGTGAAAGGAGGAAGGAGAAGAAGAAGAGGCCCCCTTGTCCCCAATACGAACCATCTTGGGAAGAGCCTTCTTTTTATATCAAGTCTCCACGAGAATCTGTTCTAGAGGCTCACCAAAGAGTTTGGTTCCCTGAAAGGGATAAGCAGAAACAATTGCCTTAGATTGGTAATCTGCTGGCCATGCTCTTAGCCATACCCATGCGACGAACTGCGGCTGTAACTGCAAGGGCCTTTGAAACGCAGACAATTGTATCTAGTGTAGCATTGGCTGTGTAAGATACTACCTTTAAGACTCTATTTGCCCCTTCCAGGAGCCTGCGGTTATTTTCAGGCAGTAATTGGATGAGTTTTCTCATCCACACAATGGTGGCCCTGGAGACAGTGGACGTTGTCACAGACATTTTAATCGCCATTGCACTAGCTTTGTGTGCCTTACGCAGACCGATTTCGGCTCTCCTGTCAAAGTTGTTTTTGAGGTTTCCATGACCGTCTCGGACACCAGTCCTGACGACTGCAAGGCTGCTACTGGTGCGTCTACCGCTGGTACCTGTAAAATATCTGAGGCAGAGGATGAAATTGGGTACAATTTCTTAATGTTTCCTGGGACAGGTCTGTGAGCAAGAGGTCTCTCCCACTCTGCTTTCATCTTTCTGATATAAAAATCAGGAAAGGGAAAAGCCATTTCCGAACAGTCAACTGGAGGGGAAAACTCATCTGTAATTTCAGATCCTTCTCTTTGGCCCTGCATGTCGCCCTGCTTGTCCCCAATAGTTTGGGAGCCCTGGATATGTAGTGCTGACAGGGTTTTTGATAGCAAATAAGTGATGTCTTCTCCCTTAAAAAATCTGAACAATTGTTCAGTAGTTGGCTGTTTCCTCTCATCCTCCTCATTTGAGGGAAATTCCCCCTCCTCCTAATCACTGGTGATGTGTGAGGTAGAGTCAAGCTCCTCCTCCATTTGTTCTACTGGATAGCCCTCCCATGGAAGCCTTTTTTGTGCTGCCTTAGTGGGCCAGGGCTGGTTTGCTTGGTCTCTTCCGAAAGAACGTGGGGGAGGGAGAGAGGGAGAACGCGGGCGCGGGTCCCTGTATTCTCTAGATAGGGCCAGTTCTGCCCTAACTGCACTCATAACATAAGCCAGTGCTCTAGGGGAAATGGGGGGGACTGTCGTTTTCAACATTACCAATCGAAGTTCCAGCGACATTCTCCCCCTCGCAGAACTCATTCTATCCTGCAGATGGGCTTTCGCCCTGCCCAGTGTTTTGCTGGCATTGTGGCTGCGGGCATTGGCATTCCAAGCCAGTCCCGACTTTTCCTTGCTGTCTGTCAGCGTTCTTCAAAATGGCCACCGACATCAGTGCGGGCTCCTTCTGAGCGCGCATTCTGGTGCGCTTGGCCTCCTCGCCGTCTCCTCGCTTCTCCTGTGTGGCTGCAGCCCATTTTCGGGCCGCTCATTCTTGATCTTTGCTCCTCAACGCGTCACTCTCCTGCGCAGAGAGGAAGCCGTCGCTGCCCTCTCTGTCCATTGTTAGGCTAGAGGGCTAAACTGTGCAGCAACAAATAGGCACAGAGGTAGATCCCCAGGCCTTCAGCCAAAGGGGGGGAAGGGAGAAGGCGAGAAAGGCAAAGTGAAACTCTCTCTCTCTCTCTCTCTCTCTCTCTCTCTCTCTCTCTCTCTTTTTTGCTTTTGTTTTAAGGTAAAGTGATGAGTAAGAGATATGGAAAAGTAGAAAAGTAGAAAAGGGGTAAGGCAAGCCTAAACCCAGCTGCTCTCCCTACTAAGGCAGGAAAAGAACTGAGCCTAGGGTGACTCCCACCACAGGAAACAGGAAATTAGTTCCTGCCTCCCTGAGTGATGGATGGGAATCACCCACAAGATGTCCTCCACCTCAGAGGGAGAATGAAAATTCATTCTAAATTCAAGTTTCTTTTCAAGCTTTCTTTTCTCAGCTGATAGAGGAAAGCCATTTGCTTTGCAAATTCCAAGAGCAATATTATCTGTGGGCATACTGCTGTCAACCACTGTACTAATGAGGATTTTCCCTCTGAGTACTCTAACCCTCGTAAGAATGTTCTGGATTTGAGAGCCCAGAATGCTTCGCCAGAAAGTAAGTGATGTGTGTTAAAAGCAGGATTCCTTTGTTAGAGAAATAATTTATTTAACTTATGACGTTTTTGTAACAAGAGCACAAGGCAGAAGTGGCACAGAATGGCAGAAACTGGATAAGCACATCCTTGGAGACTCTGAGACAGGGGTTGCTGGGGAAGTTGGAAAGGTTGGCTTTTCATCTGGCTAGGGAATAACTGGAGGCTATGAAACCTAGCTTGGGGGGGGGGGGATGACTTAGGCACCAGTGCCAAAAGATGGAAATCTAGACATCTTCACTTTATTCTGCCTGGCTCTCAATTTGTCATAGAGAAATAAAGCTTCGTTTCACTCATTTTTAATTGCCCTTCGGCACCGCAGACAGATACTTTGCTCATGTTGCTTTCCCTCACTTTCTGCAGTTAATTCCTTTCGTTACAAGCAGAGTTAATTTTTCCTTTTTATTAAATTGGTGTTTTATTATGAGCCCCACACATGCCTAAGCTATACATTTACCAAGATACAAAGAGAAGGAGGAGGAACGCCTACCTGAACCTGAACTGAAGAGTAAAAGCTATACCTGCTTCTGCAAGCAGTGAAAAGTATCTTATTTCAGATGGAGATAAGAAAGTGACTGGTCATGGTCTAGTAACTTGGGAATCTGGGCCAGTTGCATAAATGCCACATCTCCTTGGTAGAACAGTGCTGCCTTAGAGACCCATTCTGCTACCTGCCACCCTCTGAATATGCCCTGGGGAGGGCAGTAGAGCTAGGAGACTGATCCTCATCTTCTGTCTCTCCCTAACAAAACAAAACAAAACAAAACAGAACAGAACCCCCCCCAAAAAAAACTAGCTCTATCCTGCTTGCTTCTTCCCTTCCCCCTCTTGTTTACTGGTGGAACTCTTTCCAAATTTACTTTCTGTCCCTCTCCCTTTCGCTGGGGGACACCGGAGAACAAAAGAAGAGCAGGAACAAGCTCTGCTGCATTTGATCAGTCCAGCAAGCACAGCAGAGCTAGAACCTACTTTTCTTTCTGCCATGCCCCACCACAAAGGAAGGGAGAGAGGGTCCAGCCAGTCAGCCAGTGCACATAACACAGAGCTTCATTCAGGAGACAAAATACCTCCCCCTTCCTGAGAGTGAGAGAGACCACCCACCCAGCATGCGGACCTCAGTTCTGCTCCCAGAATTTCAGGGCAACTGAACTATCAGGTCTTTTCCTGGTTGCCTGGAGACAACTCTTAATGAGCCAGTGCAACTATTTATGTTCCAGGCAACTCAAATGCCATTCCACAGAATTCTCTAGTTTTAAGTAAGACTTCTTCAGTTCAAATACTGAATTTTAAAGATGTCAACTACATCCTCCCCCCCCCCAAAAAAAGAGGGCAGTAACATGTTTTGTTCCAGCAGGAAGAAGTAGCAATGCAGGAACACCATTTTTAGATCTGTTAAATGAACAACAGTGCTGTTTTAGCACCACAGGATGGAAAACAGCTGTTGATAAAATGACATGTACGGCTGTCCTTAGATGAAAAAGCCTATGCTAAACATGGCACTGCTGATACATATTCACTTGAAATTTGCTACCCTACATGGGAGTATACAATTTCTCATCTCACATTATAAAATCAGAAATGATAGCTATAATCAAATAAGCCCCCCCCTAAGCAACAGGTAACAAATGCAGTGTGGGACATTTCTATAAGTAGCATTTATAAGAACAGTTTCTTAAAGAAAGAAAAGCAGCTAGAAACAAGCATGACTGTGAAAAACAGAAGAGGAAGCTGGCACTAATCGACACTTTTCTACCACAAATGAAATAAAATCACACCTATCTGAATTCTTAACCACTAGGTTTCTATCAACTTAGGAAATGTGATGAAGAAAAGCATGTACCTTTTCATTAGTATAGTCACTGGTATATAGCGTTTGGCCATGTTCATCCAGTTCTTCTGACCACCCTTTGGGAGGAGAACCATACTGACTATCTGACTGGCTGTTACAAGAACTGTGGTAGTTTTCTTGTGATGACAGAGTCTACAAATGGTCAAACACACACAGAAGTACTGAGAATTGATATTAGTTCAAATTCTGAAAGATTAAATCTAGGAAATAACACTACAAATGAAAAATGAATTCAGAGTTTTACAGGTAAGAACTGGAGACAGCAGATCGCTTTAGATGGCTCCCCCTGATTTCTGCTCATTATTGGACTAGATGAGATTCCTATGCCCTCCGTGCATGTTGAATTTTAAATGGAATTTTCTTAACTGAGCTTAAACAGACAGCACAGTCTGCATCCTACTGAAATCAATGGAAAAACTAAATGAACTTATCTTGGCTGAACTGTGCCATAATTACCTATGAACGTAAATGCAGCATGTGTGAAGGAAACATTCACAGGGTGAACATATACAACTAGCATTGTTTCCAAATGTTAAGAACAGACTGCACATGTAGTGTATGACTTAAGTTGTCTATGCTCCCCCCTCCCCTGCCCTTGGCCTTTTAAAAAATCTTTTCTCCTCTCCAAAATTAGGAGCCAAAGTAGCAGAAGTTGAAGTGCCCAGAGGGGGCATTTGCAGGAGAGAACAAATGGCTGTGTGAGAGGATAAGTCCAGCTCGTTCCCATCTATTCCCTTATTAGAAATGATCATTCCAACATCTCCTTTCCTCAGACAACGTAGAACTATACCTACCAACAAACCATTTCTACACTGGTATTTGATATTTCTTTGCATAGTTTCTAATGTTTGTAATCCTAGTCTTATTATATTGCTTATTAGATATTTCATGCTATTGGACTGCATTGTTTTGCACCATGCAATCTGCCTTGAGCCTCAACAAGCAAGACAGGCTGTCAATAAATTATCTTCTCTCTTTTTTCACCATGGCAGAAATGGATGAGTACTACATGTTTCATATGGCTATTAAGCAATTGTTCTTAATTTGCCAAAGTCTTCACTTCGGATGTTACAAATCAATTCTAATGTTTTAATTAGAAAGTTCAAAGAGTATGCACCCAGCTTCATGAACGATAGGAAACTGGGCTAGGAACAATGTGAACTACACTACTTCACAGTACTTAATTTGAGTCAGCACATTTCCTTCCCTCGTGGATTTTAACTGCCACAATTTTTAATTTGAATGGAGAATGTATATAACTAGCATTCTTTCCAAATGTTAAAAACATTCTGTGTATGCGACGTGTAAGTTCTGAGACAACAATTTGGGTGCTTTTATTTATATTTCCCAGTGTAAACTAGCAGAAAATGACTACCAGGATTTCTAGAAATTTTCTTTCTGAATGTTTAGTATCATTTACATAGATAATCAATTCACAGTGTTTAAGCTGTAGTTATTTCATAATATCAGACACGTTCAAATACAATTTTATGGCAGAGACCAAGATTGTTGAAATATTCATTCTGCGACTGAGCTACCAGTTCCCTTTTAATTGTGTTTGTTTTTCCTGGTATTAAATGGGAAGAAGCTAAGCCTATCCGTAAAACCTATAGGTTAACCTATAAGTATGACCTCAGAAGTAAATATCTTAATTCGAGAGGTCCCAATGGCATTTTGAGATACTCTTGTGAAAGGGAAGAAATTAAAATTACCCAACAAACACACACACACAAAGTAATTCACTGAAAAAGCAGGTTATTGGCTGAAGGTAACAGAGAATGTTAATGAAAAAAACAATAAAACAGATGATTCCTGGAATCCAGAGGAACTACATGACACATTGATAGTTTTTTCTCATACATTCAAGCTAACGGTTGGAGCAGGAAAAGCAACCAAAACATTTGATGAAAGAACTAGGTACTAAAACCATCAACAGTGTTTCACATACAATATTCAATACTCCTGGGAATTATTACTGATCCATTAGTACAGTGATACTCACTCATGGCTCTTTGACATGCTACCTGTGGCTGTTCTCCAATATGGCACCCTTCCCACATTCCAGAAAAGTGGACAAGGTCATTGCCTGGTAGTATCTGTGGTTGGTAAACAGTTCCCTCTCTAAAACCACCACTGCTGGAAGGACTGAAGGATGAGTAAACTGTGAGTCTTCCTGAGCTGCAAGCCTTGTGTCAGGGATGGAAGTAAAGGGCCTGTGCTCTCCAACCGCCACCTTCACCTTTCTCAGCTGCCTCCATGTTCTCATCCCAGTACTAGGGCAACTTGAGGGAGGGAACGAGATTAAAACCACCACCATGGCAGCAACCCAGGAAAAGAGGAAGCTGGCCGTAGTTGGGTGGTGGTGGTTTTACTCCCCTTTCCCCACAGCTAACTGGTCCTTCTCCTGGCACCTTGGCAACCTCACTGGCTTGCCTGACCTGATGAACCTCATGCTGAAAACAGAGTGAGAAGGCATTTCTCTCACTCAAGAGACATAAAGACTGACTAAGGTGCAGCAGTGGTGGAGAAAGACAGCCCTACAAGCTTGGAGGTACCCTGGTAATTTAGGAGGTTATATTTAATATTAAATATATATATTATGTTATTGTTGGGTGGGGTGGTCATCTGGCTGTTTTGGTTCCTGATAATTGTGAATTTGATTCTCCATGAGTTGCAGAGTGAGTACCACTGTGTTAGTATTTGGAATAATGCTTAACTCAAAACAGCGCTAAGTTCAACCAACTTTCCAATCCTAAACACTTTTGAAACCACGCTCCACTACAACCACTTAGCAGTTTCTACAAGAACACACACAACTCACCCTGTCCATGGAGTAAACAAACCTGATCACCTAGACTGCCCTGAGAGAATCAGCTCACCCACACTGCCCACAACTACCAACTGCAAGCAAGAACAGTCCCATACTATACTTCAGTTCCAGAGCGCAGCTAGATTTCTTAAGGGAAGCTGCACTGAAAATGTCACTAGAGAGCCAGTTTGGTGTAGTGGTTAAGTGCGCAGACTATAATCTGGGAGAACCGGGTTTGATTCCCCACTCCTCCACTTGCACCTAACTGGATGACCTTGGGCAAGCCGTGGTTCTGATAAGAGCTGTCCTTGAAAAAGAGCAGTTTCTGTCAAGAGCTCTCTCAGCCCCACCTACCTCACAGGGTGTCTGTCGTGGGGAGGGGAAGGGAAAGGAGTTTGTAAGCCGTTCTGAGACACCTTTGGGTAGTGAAGGGCAGGGTGTAAATCCAATCTCCTCTTCTTCTTCTAAGCCTTGTATCAGAGCTCAAGCAGTCATGGAACGGTCACAAAAGCAAAGGCACAAGCTGCTTTACTGGAGTCCTCTGTACCAAGGATGAAACCCCCAACATGCCATAGCTTCCCAAGTAGAGGCCCAGAATCACGTAAGAAACAACACCTAATCAACCCACAACAGGGGAAAAGATTATACATCTCCAGTTTCAGGGGTACGGCCAATCTGAGCTACCACTAAAGATAGTGAACAGGATCGGCAAGCTAGCAACACCAGTAAAGACACAAGAATTTCATTGCTGCCTCCTCGATGCTGAAATGCTTATCATAAGCTATTTTAGGAATAAAGAAACACAGCTATCATGAATCAGGTATGTTATATTCTATTCCCAGTTTCAGGGAGTTGGGAACTGAACACAAAGATTTAAGCCGCCCTGAGCCCGTTTGCGGGGTAGAAATACTTGAATAAAAATAAAAATAAAAACATCCTATACCATCATATTTAATAGAAGTACCTCTTTAGTTCTCAGTTCAATCCAGGAAAAATTTGTTTAACAAAAACAATTACAACCATTTTTAAGCTTACCAAATGATATGCCAGTAGGCCAAAGCAAAAAAAGTAAGAGCAGCAAAGATATCAAAATCAACAGGGGGAAGAAAAGAGAAAGGTGAAACCTCTTGAATGTAACAAAGTAAAAGCCTCTGGCAACAAATCCTCCTTTCTCAAACACTCTTCTTAAACCTGCCTTCTCACTCACTTGTCTGCCCCTGCTGCTCTCCATACGCTTGCTAATATCACCCCTGATATACTAGGGTTTGGTCCTAGACAGACGAGTTGTATCAGCATAGAGGCCATCTGCTCTTTCTCCTCCAAACTAAGATGTGTCTGTCACAATAGCAGCTTTGTGTTTTTCTGGTCCTAGGAGACAGAGGGATTGGTTTGGGTTCTACAAAACTTTTCCACTTGAAGCAGCATATTTATTTGTTTATGCTGTTCATATTCCCTCCTTGCACCAGCGGAAAAACCTCTTGTGCCAGTGTAAGGCTCCTCGTTACAGAGGAAAATACCAATGTAAGCAGAACCATTTCACAGGACCCAACCCACTACTTTTGGACTACCTGGCAGAGACCAAAAAGATACACATTTATCACAAATATAAAGTTAATTCAAAATTATCCTAGTTTCAATGTAGAAGTGATAAAATGTGCTAATTACCTTGTAACTTGAGACTGAAGCAGCTATCTTGCCTTAACCTTATTCCTTACAATGAAGTCATACATGACCATTATAAGCTAAGGTAAGATCTAACCGTCTATTAGGTTTAAGAGTCTCTATGGTTCTTTGGTTTGGATCCAATTACCCCTTTCTGCCAAAAAAAACCCCTCCCCCTTAGAATAAAGGAATCCTTGGATTAAATCCTGGGTTGTTTAAAGCAGGGACCTTTATTCTGGGAGAGATGCAATAAGAAATGGAGAAAAATTAAGATCATCTCAAGAGCTGCACATTTTTAATCCAACTAAATTTATTCCACGATTCACACTTAACACTAAACTTACCTCTTGATCAATCTGATTCAGAGAGTCTCCCCGACTTATGCTTGGATCCCGAGTCCAGCGTGGTGGTTTCCAGGTTCTCTCTTGTGTTCCTTTGTTGTAATAGTAACAGCGTCCTGTATTATCTTTGTGGGTTTCCCACTCTCCATTAATTTGAATTGGAGGGGTTGTAGGTAAAGGTGGGAGTGAAGACTGAGATATTTTTAGTTCTTGCAGGTTAGCATAAACTGGTGAATCTGGCCTTCCTTGGCTTGGTGGAGTAGTTGGCTGTTTTGAGAAAAGAAATTTTGTGTTACTTAAAAGTACATGTTAAGACTGTACAACAATAGACACTGACTTCATATAGTGCTGGGAACGTTCAGTGCTTTTAACAAGCAAATTTAATACTTGTTACTTATTTAATTACTTTACACCCTGCCTTTATCCACAATGGGAACCCAAAGCTGTTTACATCATTATCCTCTCCTCTATTTTATTTATTTATTTTTACTTTAGATTTATGAATTGCCCAGTCCCTGAATACACAGAGCACTGGGTGATTTACATCAGTAAAAATATACATAAATGTGTCATAATCACTAGTTAAAATACAATAAATATAATATTACAAACTTAAAATTAATCCCCAGATGGTCTACTATTGACCAGCTCTGGACCAAGCAAGCAGGATATGGAGGGGGAGAGAGAGAAAGGGGGGGGGGAGAAGAAAGTGCCAACAATGTTATTGCCCACCATTGCCCTCAACCAAGAGCTTGACGGAACATCTCTGCCCTGCAGACCCTGCAGAACTGCATTAAGTCCTGCAGGGCCTTGATGTTGGTTGGCAGAGAGTTCCACCAGGTTGGAACCAGGGCTGAGAAGGCTCTCACTCTGGTCAAGGACAGACAGATGTCTTTAGGGTCAGGAATCACCAGTAGATTGCTCCATATGTTTATCCAGTTCCCTCTTGAAGCTGTCCATGCTTGTAGCCGCCGCCACCTCCTGTGGCAGTGAATTCCATGTGTTAATCACTCTTTGGGTGAAGAAGTGCTTCCTTTTATCTGTTCTAACCCGACTGCTCAACAATTTCATGGAGTGCCCACGAGTTCTTGTATTGTGAGAAAGGAAGAAAAGTACTTCTTTCTCGACCTGCTCTATCCCATGCATATTCTTATAAACCTCAATCATGCCTTCGCTTTAACCTTTCTTCATGGGGAAATTGTTCCAACCCTTTTATCATTCTAGTTGCTCTTTTCTGCACTTTCCCCAGTGCTATATCCTTTTTGAGATGTGATGACCAGAACTGTACACAGTACTCCAAATGAGGACTGACCCAGCTGAGCTCTGACACCACTGGACTACACTGGCTGGCTGTATAGTATACTGCCTGGCCAATGTGTGAATGATGAAACACAAAACCACACTACCCACAGACCAGGTATCTACTACCTCATGGGAATCTCCAGGTATGCAGAAAAGTATGGATCTGTAAATCAACTGGAGGTGGATGGGGAGGAATCCTTTAAATGACCTGAACGTGACTAAATAGGCACCAGAAAGGACAATAGTTGAGAGCAACTAGGTGCAAGTTAAAGGAGAGGGGGGGGGTAAGAAATCAGCCTGTTCAAACCCATAAGAGTTTATAGAATCCTAGATTGGAGGGATAGAATTTTCCAAATAGTTCCCCCCAAGTTATTCTTCACAATCTCCCCACACACACCTTGTAATAAAATGCTTTTAAAAATTCAGCAATATAGAAGTTACATTTTTAAAAAATCATCTCAAAATAATTTGACCTTTATAAAATAAGCTAGCCAATAAAGATACAAGTCGTCAGGACTCACTCAGTCCTATTATGAAAAACTCATTTCAGGTAGGGATGGGGAAGCAGTAGAATATGCCTCTCCTGATACAAAGCATGAAGGAGGGAGATCACATGTGCAGAGTGACTTTTCTAAAACATCAGTGCTATATGAAAAAGATGTTTTAAACTCACAGCTGTGCCTTTTAGAAAACATGGGTTTTTATCACTCAACAGGCAAAAAAGCAGAAAGCTTAGTAACAAAACAGCTAATTTGCAGTCTGCTTATTCATTAGCTCCAACAAGTATTGCTCAAGTAGGTCTGCTGTGGGTTGAAATTATAGATAAGTAAGTGAAATAGAGATAAAGAGCTTAGCCTTGAACAAAGCTAGCTTCCCTGTCTTACTGCAGAATAAATTATCTTTGCTGTGCTACTCAAATAATGCAAATTTTGCTGTAAGATTTATTGTAGTAGAGACTATTGACCCAGAAAAACTGCTAGAAGTTGAACACAGAGATCGACCATTGGATACTCACCTTGAAGGGTCCTTCTCCTCTGAGGCTTGGAGGACATCTTGTGGGTGATTCCCATCCATCACTCAGGGAGGCAGGATTAATTTCAAACTTCCTGTTTCCTGTGGTGGGAGTTACCCTAGGCTCAGTTCTGGTGCTCCCGAAGCAGTATTTTAATAGCTACATTTTCTAAACAGTAACATAAAAACCCCCTGACAACTTGTTAACACATATAAAGAAACCGCCACAGACACGTGGAACAGGAAACAATAGAAGAAGTAAGGCTTATACTCTCTCTTTCTGCTTGCCAGATATGGCATAAGGAATAGTACAGATAAAGATAACAGAAGTAAAGAGGACGACCCCGGGAGGGCCAAGATGTCCTCCAAGCCTCAGAGGAGAAGGACCCTTCACGGTGAGTATCCAATGGTCGTTCTCCCTCTGAGGTGGAGGCCATCTTGTGGGACCTCCCAGAGCAGTGTCCCTAAATGTTGGGAGGGGGGTCGTCATCGCAGGAAATGATAGACTGAAGTACTCTCCTGCCAAATGCTGCATCCGCAGATGCATATAAATTGATCTTATAGTGCTTAATGAATGTGGACACAGATGACCACATGGCAGCTTTGCAAACCTCCTCTACTGAAGCTCTATTGATAAAAGCAGCATTCGGGGTTGCACTGCGTAAGGAATGTGTCGTAATTCCCTCCGGCGGACTCAGTTTTAGGCTCTTATAAGCTTCCGCTATGCAAGATCTAAGTACTTTACTGATGGCTGCACTTGACATCTTCTTTCCCGTGTGTGTGGGAGAAATGTACACAAACAGGGCTTCTGTTTTTCTGAAGGAGCTTGTTCTATGAATATAGCACTTAAGCACCCTCCTTACGTCCAGAGTATGCCAGAGCTTCTCCTTAGGATGTGTGGGGTTTGGAACAAATGATGGTAAGCATAGTTCTTGCACTCTATGAAACTGAGTATTGATTTTTGGACGAAAGGTAGGGTCTGTCCTCAATACAACCTTCTCCTTGTGGAAAACACAAAGGGCTGACCGGATGGATAATGCGCTCAGCTCCGATATCCTCCTGGCCGAGGTTATGGCTACTAAGAAGAAGGCCTTCATCCTTAGAAACTGTAAGGAAATTTTTCCAATTAGTTCGAATGGGGGCTTTGTGAGTGCTGTGAGAACTGTGTTGAGTTTCCAAGTAGGAAACCTGTGCTTCGTTGAAGGGAGTTTAGCAGATGCTCCTTTCAGGAAACGTGATACGTGAGGATGGTGGGAAATTGAAGATCTCTTGTAAAGCGGTAGAATTGAGGCTAGAGCTGCTACCTGTCTCTTTAGTGTCGCCGCTCTTGGACCATTAGCCATGCCGTCTTGTAGGAATGCCAGTACTGACGCAATCTTAGGGTGCGGAGGATCCACCTTTTTTCTTCTGGACCAGCGGACGAAGGCTTTCCATGTGCAATTATATATCCTGGAAGTTAACAGTCTTCTGGATGCCAGGATCGTCTCTATGACTTGAGGACCATAACCTAATTTTTGCAACTTCTTCCGTTCAATTTCCACACGGTCAAACAGAACCACTCTGGTCTGGGATGCCAAAGTGGGCCCTGTACCAGCATGTCTGGAGGCATTGGAAGATGCAGAGGCTGAGTTGCCGAAATCTGTTGCAGGGATGAAAACCATGGCCGCCGTGGCCAGTACGGCGCTACTACTACTACTACTAGGGAGCGGTGGTGCAGGCAGTAAAGGAGCCTGCAGGTAATCCATCTATGAACAGCCTTAAGGCTGTTCGAGTCCCACCGCGGCCGGCGTGAGCTCCCAGCCCCTGTCCTAGCTCCCGCCTACCTAGCAAGTAGATAAATGGGTACCTGCCTTAGGTGCAGGGGGCACCCGCCTTCCGCTGTTGTGGCGGCGAGGAGGAGTGGAGCAGTGGTGCCACCGCCGGCGGAGCGATCCGATGAAAGAACATGGCGGCAATTTAACACCAAGCAGCAATCGTTCCAGGCGGGGATTGGCCCTGAGACGCGACAATGCGGCGACGCTGCTTGGCCAGAGCCAATTGGACAGAGGCCAGCGTAGGAAGTCGTCGCACAGTCGCAGACTGTGGGAGCTTCCCCAGAAGGAGCCGCTGCGGAGCCCGCCGTGACAAGCTTCCACCATAAGGAAAAAGAACACACACGCCGGCGGGGTGCCTGGTAGGCACTCACCTCCCTATATATATACATTGTATGTGGCCCTAGTTAGGAAATGTAAAATGCTTGTAAAACTGCTCAAAGCCTCCAGGATTGAGCAATATAGAAATTGAATGTAATTAATAAATAAATAAATAAATACTATAACCTGTGCTTTCAGCATTTGGATCCTTCTGAGAAGCTGTGGAAGGACTGGTAGTGGTGGGAAGGCATACAGAAGTCCTCAAGGCCATGGAGACGTTAGGTCGTCTATGCTCTCCACCTGTGAATGACAGTAACGAGTAAAGAACCTCACTAGTTGCACATTGGTTGGTGGTGCAAAGAGGTCCACCATTGGAGTTCCTAAGGTCTCTGTTATGAACTGAAAGATCTTCCGATTCAGAGACCATTCGCTCTCCTGCAGTGATTGGCGACTCAGCCAGTCCGCCTGGATGTTGGCTTCTCCTTTCACATGTTCCGCCTTTATTGAATATAAACTGGATTCTGCCCATTCCAGAAGTTTCTTTGCTTCCCTGTGTAGAGCTAACAATTTGGAACCTCCCTGTTTGTTCAAGTAAAACTTTACTAAGATGTTGTCTGTCCTGATGAGGATGTGTTTCCCCTGAACGAGGTGGGCAAAGTGTTGAAGTGCCAATCTGATAGCTCGTAGTTCTAATAGGTTGATCGGCAGTTTGTGTTCCTCTGGTGACCCTTTTCCCTGTGCAGTAATGTTCTGCAGGGTGGCTCCCCACCCTGACAAACTGGTGTCAGTAAGTATCTGTGTCCTGTCTGGGATCCAGAACGT